CCTTCCTGGTTTAGTGCAGAGGTTTTATTTGTGTGATAAAACAAGCATCAAATGTTCATTTTTACTTTGCCAAAATACGTACCAATATATCTGAGCTCAGACCAAACCAATAGACCTCTGCGTCTCTGGTTTAAGGGTAAGTCTGTTCATCTCCTGTCAAGTAAGCATCCAAAAATCAGCCAATTAAAGGCATCCATAAATATATAGCTTACAGCAGGTTGTCTAATAGCTACATGCAAATGGAGAAGTGTGTCAGTTTTAAACGTTAAATTCCCACAAGGTCAGTAAACTCCTACGGACTCACATGTGTTAGTTAATGCAATACTATGTCTTTCAGTGGGGATGAAAATGTGCAGCTTAGTTGTTCTTTGTTGGAATAAACTGTTTTAAACAATATTTTGACTACTAGTGGTGCTGTGGTACAATGTGGAGCAAAACCAGAGAAGAAGAAAACTGCTAGCTAGACAATGTGAATGCAAAAAAATGCAGCAAAATATGTTTTATGAGGCAGTTAATGCAAGAACCACTGAATGTACCCATGATAGTATTTGAAGAGAAGATGTCACAATAAAAGCCTCAAATTTGACACAATGAGACAATTGTACTTTTGTGTTCTTTAACTTTTGAATAGAAGCCTTTAATTCTTATTCTACATGACTAAATGTTGATTGATGAAGACAGCTGGTGTCAAAATACTTAAATCCTTCTGCTCTCTATTCACAGTTAAGGGGCCATATCCTCCACAATATCCCATGATTTATAGCCTATTCATTATTATCTCAATAATATTGGACGTTATTTGTTTTGATAAAATTGACTTTCAGCATTTGAATCTCTTGTGTCATCTAGTCTCCAAGGTAGTTGATATTATTTCTGAAAAACCAAATGGCGTGTGGCTGGTAAAAAGAATCCAAGTGGTTTGTGAATTCTCCAACATACCAACCCCTGCAGCAGGTGGACCAAATATTTTCTTCCATTGATGCAAAGACTAGAAAGACCAGGCTTTGTGCCAGTGTTGCCCTCGCATTCCAGATACTTGGAATACCTCTCTTCACCTGGACACCAGCACAGCTGTGACTCCATCGCTGCTCGACATGCAACTCCTCTCCTCTCCTCTCTGCTCTCCAAAGAACAGCGTGGTCCTCTGGAGGCCAAGAGGAGAGCAGCCGTACATGTAGCGTGGCGGTGTTTGCTGTAATGTCCTCACTCTGTAAACCCAGCATGCACCGTTCAGTTTTTAGTGTATGGACAAATATAGTAACTGCAGACTGTGGTTTCTGCTCTTTCACTTTTTCATTTAGATGAACATTAAAAGATATATAAACCAGAATTTCAATTTCCAACAGTTTTGTTTATGACCAAATACCTAAAACTAATGACAGCCTTATTAGCCTTAATATTGTGAGCATGTTACCTTGATGACGTTAGCAATTAGCTTACACGCAAAGCCTCAAAGAGCTGCTAGCATGGCTGTAGACTCGTTCTCTTAGCAATTGTCAACCATTAGCTTACTTGTGTGGGATCTTGTTTCTTGTGAATTGATGATTCGTGTAAAATGTTAGTCTTTATTTTATATGCTTCACGTTCCAACATGTTTTAGGATTCCAGTAAAGTAGCTTTTTTTTCAACTGCCGTAAATGTCCCTGTTTTAAAAAGCTAAAACTGTACGTGATTTGTGACTAAGCCTCGTAACCACCAGCTGCAACAAGTCACCATTGTTCTTTTATTTGCCAACCTCACAGCTGGCAAGCACATAGCTATTTTTTACTTGTTTATCTTCAAGTTAATTCTCTTTATTCAACAAGCAAAACATTCTCTGCACACTAAAAAGAGATCCAAAGGAGGAGGCTGTAAGTGGCATGTGAATGAGTAATTCGGAGGCTCTTTCAAGTTCCCTCTGCTAAAATCAGAGGCTAAATAGGAGCATTCCTCGCATAGCTCCATAGCCATAATGTGGAGATTAATGTGTTTGTCTAAAGGTTGTGAGGGGATAGTTGCTCTGAGTATCACAGTAACAAATCTGACCAAAGAGCTGCAGTTTTCCCTTCTCACAGAATGCAACGCCAGCATCAGGAACATTTCACCGAAGCCAAAAATAGACGTGCTGCTGGCCCATACTTATTCGTCAGCCGTACTCCCAGACTGTTGCTTGATCTACTTTGTGCCTCATTTGGCCGATAGGGGCCCATTGTTTTGGTGCTTTTATCTCGAGACTTCGTGAGAAGATAGAGGCATTATAAGGTGGTGTAATCCCAGTGGCTGTCGGGATAATATCAACTTGGCTTTTAAGGCTTTTTAAGAGGCTGGCACTTAGACACTGGGTTCTGTGCCAGGGTCTGGCAGTCTCGACAGGTAGTAATTTGACTGGTAAATGTGTCATTATAGCCATTGTAGAAGGTTGCGGCAGACGGGGAAAGAGAAAGAGGGGGCGGAGGACAGAAAAGAGAGAGACAGAATAAGAAGGGGGAGAGGGGTGGACGGATGCAGGTTTTCGAGATAAATAGTGGAATAAAAGGACGGAGGCAGCAAAGGAAGGAGGAAGAGGTTTTACAGTGGACAGGCTAAGACAGGCCGAACTTGTAAAAAGTCTGAAAATGTCACAAACTTGTGACTTCAGGTTGCTCAACTTTTTGGAATGCTGTCTGTCTCCCGTTGTGCCTCTGTTAGCTTTTGCAAAGTGCGGGTGGTCCCTTCAGTGATATACACAACAGTTACATTTCTACGTCTTACCGAGGGCCTTGTCTGCAAGCCACAGGCTTCCTCTTCTGCCCCTATGCCTGGTGCGATCTCCCATGTGGACACGAGACAATGTGACTGTGCAGCGTTCAGTCTCGCTTTCATTGAACAGACCTATTCATACATCATTTATCAGCTTGAAAAATATAATTGTCCCAGGTTTGTTATTCATGTGAGATCTTGTGTGTTTGGTCCATTCTTTGATCATTTTGTTGACAGAGCTACTTTTATTCTAATTTTCTTGTAAATGTTAAAAACACTACTTTTTTTTTTAACGAAACTGAACACCAAATGAAAATGCAGTCTTCTCACGCATTGTTTGCAATAATAACTCTGAATTGATATGCTGCCATGCTTGTGTTACTAATAACTTAGTCTTCCTTGGCGTCACTGGTTCTCGGAAGTATGTGATTAGACTGGTGATGTTTGGAGGCCTTGTCAGTTTTCGTTATTGCCCTCATTTCGTCTCAATTTTGGTGGTATGAGTAGCCCCGCATGCCGATTGCCTCCACCCTCCCTTTGTTTCACAAATGACACTTAGAGTGCATCTAAACACAGAGAGTGAATTTTTGCGGTGTTTAAAATATCTCTCCTCCAAGGCTTTTATAGTGTAATAGGGGGGGGGGGGAAAGGCTGTGTTTACTATACAGGCTCACAGAGGGGGGGGGGGGGCCGGGGGGGAAGGAGGGGGGGGGGGGGGGGGGGGGGGGGGGGGTAAGGAGGATCCCTCAGAGTCATGGTTCCTTTGTGCATCTGTGCATGCTTAGTGTGAATGCATGCACACAAACGCTGTAATGTTGCACCTACATGCTTGTGTGCATGCATACTCATATACAGATGTGCATGTCAGATGTCTTTGACTCCCCCCCGTATGCAAATTCAGATGAAAGTAAAAGCATGCTTACACAGGAAGCTGGAATCATGTCCTTGAACAGAGTTTAGCCAAGCTCTGACATGTATATAGGTAAACAACACAGGGAAGGTTTGCAGTAGAGTTAGGGAGAGAAGGAGAGACAGGAGGGAGGGGGGCAAGCTTGAGGGAAAGAAGGAAGGAGGCCACTAAGGGATGGAGGGAGGGACTAGCAGAGAGGGGAAGGAAACAGGCATTTGCCTTTTTCTGTCAGCTGAGGCCGGACTGTGGGAGACTTTGTATCTGCTTGGAGGGAGCATTGTGAAAAGCTGGTATGGTGTGAAGGAAAACACATTGTTTGAAGGCTAATTCAAGGTACGACAGTCGAAGTTCTTCCTTTGTTTCTGCGTACTGCACTTTGACGCAGCTTATTTTCTGCCACGCTTTCCTGCTCATGCTGTGTCACCACAAAGGGGGAAGTGTTTAAGTACAACTTTATTCAGTGCTGCCTGTTTGTTACGTGAACCGTCATGCACCTTTGTCTCCTTCCCTCAAGTGCTCAGCTAGAGTGTGTTTACTCTGCTCCTGTGTATAGAAGACGTTGCTGCTGGTGGTTGTATGATGGGAGGCTCAGCTGCTCCTGGGTGGTCTCGGGCCTCACTGTCACATATCCTACTGGGGTATTTTTAGTGAGAGAACTGATTGAGTTAACATCCTGTGTTGGCTTCTCCCTCCTGTATCTCCGCTCTTTTTTTTCATTCATTTTCTGCCTCGTTCCTCTGTTTTTCAACAGAGTTTGTGGCCATAGGTTTCAGGCAGCCAGTTGTCACCTAAAACATAAAAACACACTTCTGGTCAATACTGTGTTTAGAAAGATTTCAATCATAGTTGATTTGAGCTTATAGAAAGTTTAATAGCGGTTAGATACGACAGCAAAACACTCAATGACCAGCTACTCAACTATTATTTTTGCAAAACGCTGATGAAAACATCCCCAAAATGACAGTTTTGATGAACAATTGTGCTAACCCTGGTGACTCATGTGAATGCATTGTTTCCTGTGGCTGCTTCACAATAAAAGCCACCCCATGTATTGCCTCTTAAATGCTTTTAATATGAAAAAGCAGCAGTAGGATGTTCCATTTGCATTAGCAGTAACATAATACAGCTGGGATTTGTCTGTAACGGTAACCCTGCATTAAAAGCACGCCTCATTTCCTCTGAATCCCCTGTGCGTTTATATTCAGCACTTTGACATCCAGATATCAGCAAACTAAGGCTTTGTTTGACTGGTGAACAAGTATTTTTGCCCTCTCGGGATACTTAAATGAATGTGTTCTTGTCTTTCTTTCCTCTCAGCCTTCCTGAAATTGACTAAATGAACGCGTCTGTGTTTGATGATGTCATCCCTCAGGGCACAATCATGGAGGAAATGGACTTTGAGCGGCGCCGGGAGCTGAGGAGGCAGAAGCGGGAGGAGATGCGCCTGGAAGCCGAACGGTAAGACCCATTTGGTTGTAGGTCATTCACGTTTGGAGATTAGTGCTCCAGGATTATCCAACTAATTATCTTGCAAAGCAGAGAGTCTTTTAAAAGGCTGTCCTCTACAACGGATTCATTAGTAGTTGCAGCCACAGAACGTCACTGAAGATCTTACTACTTAGTTGTGTGAGGCTGAGGGAGCAGCCTGTGTTGTATAATGAGGCTCTGGTTGTCAACGCACATCAACACCTCTGATGTTCATGCCAAGTTGGAACAGGAGGGAGCCGGCTTTAATGGCTTAGACCCTCCTCTAAGCCCGAAAAAAACATCGCTCGGCAAATATTGGCTTCCCCGACACAGGCTAAAAGAAAAAAAGGGGCAGATAAGAAATCTGATAAGCAACGAGATGACCTTTAAGAGGGAATGTTCAATCACGCCCTCCCTCCCTCCCCCTTTCCAATTTTCTCTCCCATATACCGCGGCCTTGTGAACTCTCTCAGATTCAATGGAAGAAATTGATTGAGCTAAAGTTCATTTCAACAAATTGATTGAGCGGTAACACGGCAAAGTGCAGCAATCACATTCAGTAAAGGGGGGGGGGGTTTATTGTGAGAACTTGATACATAGTGTGCCGAGGAGGCATTTTATAGAGCCCTTTCACAAAAGTCTCTCCGTGTGTACTGCAGCCCTTCCAATTAAGGATGAGGTTGATGTGGATGTAGATACCGGCCAAGGTCACTCGCCCGTTTGATGTATCTGTGAGCAGAGTTTTGTGCGAGCCAGTTACTCCATCGCTGGTGGAAAAACAAGCTGACATAGGTCTGACCACTGCTGAACGCATAGATGTTTTTCTCTGATAATGTTTCTATGACACAAAGACGATGTGTGCAGCGCTTTGCCTTCGTGATGAATAAGGCCCCTTTGCTCAAGGTAAAATAGCATTTGTTGTATAAAGGAAGTCAGTAAAATGGTGCACACCATGCACAATAGTGAAGGAGATATATTAGGTGATAAAATAGAGGGTTAAGTCATTCATCCACACAGTGGAAATAAAGTGTCTGCCAGCTTGTGTGTGCTGTATGGATGGCGCCAAGGTTATCTCCACAGGGATATTATTCGACTTATTTATTTTGCGGTAATGAACAAACCCCAACAGATAAATCTACATGACCAATATTATCGCTCAATAGCTTATCAGATATCAGCATATACTGTATATTAGCCCATAACTAACAAGCACTTGCAGTGCATAAATGCCAAATATACCGTCTTTTTGTTAGATTAAAAACAGTGTTGCCATTACATAGTTGTACATATCTTGTACAATACTATCACCTTATAAAGTTGACATGGCAACATGTTAGCAAACAGTTTCATATTTGCACATTAAGTAGATATAGAACAACATTGTCAGTCATTTGGAGTCGTGTTTCTGGCAACCTGACAATTGTAAGTCCTGTATTCACGATCCTTTTAGCTTTGTTTTGGTCTCCACCTAGTCCTGAGGGGAATATCTGGGTGAGGGAAAACATATGACCAACTAAATCATACACTCTTCCACAGCAACTTTATCTACAGCCTGTCACCTCAGAATCAGCTTTGATAGCATTTTGGTGTAAAGATGCTTTACATTTTGATTTGGTGTAACAGCTATAGAATGTTCTCCCTCTTGACGTGTTTTTACTTCTTTTAACACTTTACACGTCATTTCCCCAGATGCAATCTAAATAGCTGATTGAAGTGAAGGTTAATGTTGTTATGTTTCATGGCTTAAAACCCCCATAAAACCTGCTACTACAAGTATTCATGCAGTTTTGGTGGATTTATGATACACGGAGATGTATCATAGATGGAGAAGATGGAATTTGGCAGAAAATGTAGACTGAGAAGAGCATAGAGAGGTAAGAGATGAGGACTGACTGACTGAAAGAGAAATGGACCATGAGTGAAAAAGCTTAAGAGTTGTAAGCGCCTTTGACATGTACATTTTCAGCTCGGCAGGAGTTTGTTCATGACTGTTTATTTGGTCCGGGAAGCAGTAATTTCAACTGGCAGGCGACATGCCGCTCCTGTTATTGATAAAAGATTACATCTCTGCACTGTTTCCATGTCTGCCGATATATTGAAACAATCAATATTTACATGCCCCTCTTGGTTGGACTAGTCAAAACCACATGTTGTCTCATTGGCCTGCCTCCATTCAACCATCACTGAGCACGCTGGGAGAAGACGGAGAGACGCAGGGAGAGTGTGGGGCCATATAATAACCGCTGTAGGAATGCCAAAATTCCTGGCTATTATAAGTGTTTACTGGCCAGGTCTGCATGAGCTGTTTCCTACATGCTGGGACAGCGAGGTTGTCCGTGTGTGAGAGTGTGTATGTGTGTATTTATCCCATAGTCTGTGTCAGTGTGCTATGCATATGCATGTTAGTGTGTGCAGGTGAATGCATGCATTCAGTTAACCGTGCAAGTGTTCGCTTGTGTGTGTGTGTGTGTGTGTGTGTGTGTGTGTGTGTGTGTGTGTGTGTGCGTGTGTGTGTGTGTGTGTGTGTGTGTGTGTGTGTGTGTGTGTGTGTGGCGGGAGAACAGCCAAGCCGTCCCTGTTCTGTCTTACATCAGCCTCGGTTATAGTTGAAAATGATTGTTTACATAGAGGTGCGCAATGGGCTTCAATTCACTTCTCGTTCTATTCAGTAAAGCCGCACATACACACACACACACATGGTTTTCTGCTCTGCATAGACTCACACTCTCTCATGCTCTTCAGCTCCCCTGCTCATCAGTCCTATAGTACGTCTCTGTTCAATGAAATACACAGGAATGTCTCGACCGCTTCTTTTCTTTTCATCTTTTTTTCCAAAGAGAGCACATAAATGTGGAATTTTCCCAGTCAATCAGTGACTAGCTTCAGCGAGAAATAGTCTTCTCTTGTAACATCGATAGTACACGTTGTTGTCTGCAGCTGGAGAGCAGTTCATTGCCCTTACTGAATATTTAGACATTGCACATAGATAGATAGATAGTCGGCACGTCCGCAATGATGACTCACCACTGTTGTATGTTGGGACAGTTAAAGGAGCAGTTCAAGGATTTGGGAAATACTTTAATTCGCTGTGAGTTAGATAAGATTAATGCCACTCTAGTCACTGCACTCAGCCAAGAAAAGTTCCGCACATAACCCCGAGTAAAACCCCTACGTGTCGTTTATATACTTTTTGTGCGGTTTAAATCCCGTCCACTCAGACTTTATGTTAAGCTCAGCTAATCATTCTAACTAGGCCGTAGCTTCCTCTTTATTGCATAGACACGAGAGTGGTATCAATAGACATGTTTCCTTAAATTAATTCATGTGATTCATTCAAGGCTTTGCTAGATATACCATGTTGATTTTGCAAGACTTTGAAATTTCCTCTTTGATGTCCTTTTTAGGAAGTGTCTATTTTTGACATTTGCCATTTCCCTCTGTCTCCTCCTCCTCCGTCTTTCTTGTCACACTCCGTCTCCTCCTCTCATTCTGTATGCGTCCCCTCTATCCTTTTCTTCTCCCCTGGGTGTCAATGTCTTTCTTCTCCATCTCCTTTCTCCTCCCTGTCATCCTCCCACCACATCACCCTTCTCCCCATCTTCTTCCACTTTCATTTTCAATCCTTCGCCCCCCTTATTCTTCTCCTCTTCCTTCCCGTTCTCTCCCAAAACTTCTCCTCATTCCCTTTTACTTACATACCTTCCTTCTTCTCATCTTCCCCTTGCTTCTCTCTTCTGATCTTGTTCTTCCAGAGATATTTTCAAATCCACATCCTTGTCCTCTTCCCTCCTAACCCAATCTCTTGTTCTCCATCTCCTTCTCAGTCTCCTCTTCCTTCTCCAGCTCCACCATCCTCGTCTTCCTCCAATTTCCCCTGTTCGTTCTTCACATCTGCGCTGTCCCCTCCCCCCCGAGGGACCAGGAAGGGCCGAGGAAATAACACCCATCCTCCGTGAATAAGCCATGCCAAACAATCCACGCCCTGGTTGAATGGACCGTTCCAAACTTGACCCTGTCCTGCATCGTAAACCTGTTGGTTCTGTCAGGAAGAGCGAGGCAGATAGAGGGATAGAGATATGGATGGAGAGGTTGAGCCACGTACATGTCAACTTCTAACTCACAAAATCAGCTTGGAAAGGAGTTAAGCTATTGTTGCTGATTTCTTTAAGCCAAATCTTACTCTTTTACTCCCCAAAAGAAGTAGAAATGTTATATTTATGTTTTAAATGCAGTCGAGTCGAATTTTAACGTTGTGTGTCCTTGGAGCCGGCCCAGCAGAGCACAGGGTGGGGAAGAGAGACAGGCGGGGTACGTTGTGGGTCTTTGGGCCGGCAGAAGGAAGGGAAATAGTCCAGAGAGGCCAGCGTGGGAATGGGTCAGCATTTCTGACAGTGTAAGAAGAGCCCCCACCCTCTTTCCCTCTCCCTCACCATCCCTTACTTCTCTCCCCTCCCCTTTGTTCACAGCAGCTTTTCTTTTCGGTCTTCCTCTCTACTTTTCTCCCTCCCTCCCTTCCCTCTGTCCTTCTCCTCTTGAGGAGGGGTGAAGAAGTCTTTTCTCATGGGCTTTTCCCAAATTGTTTTCGCTGACATTTCTGAGATATTTTGCTGTAAAGAAAATATTTGGACATATTTCTCCCTAATAGGCTCGCTGATGGCGATATTTTGGGGCGCTGGTGCTTTTCACGCGAGTTACTTTGTGGATGCAGAATCCTGCCTGAATCAGCTTTACTGTACTTTGCAGCAAAAATTGCCAAATTTATGCACATGCGTGACAAGACTTTTAATTTCCTCTTCAGCTGCCTCATGGAAAGCTAAGTGCATATTAGCTGTCAGACAATACTGTGCAGTTTTGCTTTCCTTACATACTGTACTTGGCCACCCAAGAAAAGGGCATCTGTTGCATCCTATATTCTGACAGACCCACATACCTGAAGCTTATAACTGTGGCTGCACATCATTCTGAGCAAAGATGTCTAGTATGATTAAACCTGTAGATTACTCCTTTTTCCATTATCGTGCACACCCTTTCCGTTTCCCACTTCTCCTTTTCATCCTCACTCTCCATTTCACTTGCTCTTTCTTTTTCACTCTTTTTTTTTTCTTCCCCTGTCCCCGCTTCCACCTATCTCCATATTTCTGTGTCAGTATGCTGATAGAATTTGGGGCCTAGGTAGGGAAGGGGATATTAAATCAGGGCTTTGGTTGTGTACGCGTCTCTAGCCAAGGCGGTGATTGACAGGAATGCTAATTCAGCTTTTAGGAGTTTGTTCTTCTGTCCTACTGAGGAATCTTTAACCCTGAGATTGTCGTCTTCACCGCCACCAAGGTCTCTTTTGTTCCATTTTTAGCTGTTGTCTTTTTCTCTTTCTCATGACATTTTGGTGCCGTTTCTGGGATGGCGCAGTCCTCTGGGAGCGAAGGCAGTTTTTTTTTTTTTTTTTTTCACAGAACCAACATTTCACTCTGGCATTTTAAATAAGAGTTAATGTACTCTCTACTGCAGGGGAACTCAGTTGAAGTTGATAGAATATAAATGAAGTTGAAAAAAAAAGAAGATGTGGGAGGGTATATTTAAAGCAAGACTGTAACTGTTGAAAGAAGAAATAACACTTTCTTCCTCTTAAAAGTAAAAAAAAATTGAATTACAAAGCAAAGAAAACCTGTTTGTTGCAGCTTTGCTTGGTCTGATGTGGCCCGTAGCTCATTGTGGCTAATGTAAGTCAGTGTGCTGACTTTCTGACTGTCCTCTACTTGTGCTTTGTCATGCTACCTTTTAGCATTCACCATTATATATTGTCATTGTAAGTTGTGGCCACAGTGGATGGTTGAAAAGAGTCAAACTAATCTGAATAAGAACAGTTTTCTGACCTTAAAAATGCTGAATTGTCAGAACGAAGCACACACATGCACATGTGTAAATCATTGCCTGACGTCACCGATGTCACTGTCCCGTAGGTCCATCTTGGGCGTTAACAGATAAATCTGCTCTGTTATGACAACATTCCTCATCTGAGAGAAAGAAACGGGAGACGGCAAGAACAGCAGAGGGGAAGGAAAGGAAGAAGGAAACTGTTGTTCACAAGCTGTAAAACCTCACATAAACCAAAGCAGCTTGAGCTCGGCTCACCACACATGTTGCAATTAACATGCAATAGCACGCTTTGCTGGCTGACCTCAAAGGCGGCGCTGTGATGTCAGGTAGCTAGGCATGTGGTTAGCGGTGGGAGTGTAAAGGTCAGTCGGGGCGACACAGATCAAGCATGGAGCCGAGTTCATAGATGTCAGGTGGTCAGAAAAACAGCAGTTTGGGAACTAATTTGATTATTGGAATAAAAGGAAAACTGTCGAACTGTTGTTAGATATGCACGGTTTATGGTTCTTTGATTTATAATACCATAGCAATCATTCTGTACTTTTTGGGTGTAGTCATTTCCCTAAACTTGTCTACTTCCATTTCTGTCAGACATTCTGAACTTTACAAAGTGACTTTGCTCCAGAAAGAAAAGGCCTCGTTGTTGCTTTCAATCAAATTTCAGCACATAAATATACAGTAGCTGACGAGCCAAACTAGATTGTGAACAATGGAGTTGTGTTGATGATTTTATGCAGCCGCACCCTTTGCTTAAACCACCGCATGTCTGCTTTAGATTTTGCACTATTAAGGATATGGGCGGTTTGTTTTTACAGCTGATTTATCCCTTTTAATGGCAGAGTAGGAGTATGGAGAGAGTAGAAAGAAGCAGTTTTCAAATAAATAAATACACAGCAAGCAGTTGGTTAGCTTAGCCTAGCATAAATACGTCAACGGCGGAAGCAGCCAACAAAAAATAAATGGATCAAAGGTGTGAAGGTATTAATTATGCTCACAAGATATTAGGTGTTAATTGAGTAGTTTTAGAGATGCTGGTCAGCAGATTTAGTTTTACATTTGGGCAGAACCGTGGCTAGCCGTTCCCCCTGGCTCCCTGTGGTGTCGTATTTTGCGTACAGATATGAGCGTTGCATCAATCTTCTAATTCTCTGCAAGAAAGCAAACGTGTATTTCCAAAAGTGTCAAACTCTTATTTTTAAGAGAGAAGGTGCTGAAATGGTTGTCTCGGCAAAACTGGGGTTGTGTCTAGAATTTCATTAAAACAAGAGAATGTATCTACAAAACAAAGCTCGCTCCACGGATCTCTACGTTGTTTTGACACAAGATATGTTTTTTGACTTTAGTGTGTTTGATTTCTAGATTAAATATGGTATTAAATCCCTTGTAGAAATGTAAACATGTAAGGCTAGTGGTGGTTGTGCATTGCATAAACACACTCATACGCACACACCTCTACTTTTTGCTCTGTTCTAACACTGACCAGACCAGAAGCACTGTTTCTCTGGCTCCATGTTCTCCTCAGCCAAGCCAAGTCTCCGGACTGAGTTTTATCAGCTCGTGGAAACTGCAGCCACGATAAGAAGTATTGGTTGTTGCACAGCTAACAGGTCAGCTTGATAAGAGAGAAGAGAGAAAAAAGCTCAGACAAATCCACCAGGTTTGGTCACTGCGATGATTACAGTCCAGTTTAAGGAATTGTTCACTTTGAAGTTTCTAATCGGGAAGCTAAATTGAGGAAGAGGAGACTTAGGCGAAGGGTTCACAGTTTCTATCTCTCTCGTCTCCCTCAGGTTGGCGAGGAATGATGATGATGAGGAGGAGGCAGCCCGTGAGAGGAGGCGCAGGGCACGCCAGGAGAGGATGAAGGGCAGGGAGAGTGAGGAGCCCAGCGGACAACCAGACAGTCTGGTCATGACCAACAGCCACAGGTGACACACATATATTAAAACAGCTTCTGTCTGTGACAAATGTAAAGTCAACGGCCAACGGCTTAGCTCCCAATTTTGGTCCAGCTGAGGAGGCAAAAGAGGAAACAAGAAAAGGAGGAAAACTGTCACTGTAATATCACCCTGCCCAGTTTAAGTCCTGTTTCTGTGGGAAAAAATGTCAGGACAACTCAGAAGAACGTCCCAAAACTTATTTCACAACCTCTGCTTTAAAAAGAGGACAGTATATTGTAGCTTTTTAAGACTTCTGGGCGGTGGAGGAAGTTTTATTCTTTCATAAAACAATTGAGACTTTGCTGAGCTCTCAGCAACTGTTTTTTCTTTTCGTTCTTGCACAAGAAATATGTAGTTTACAATGGCAGATTTACCGTTTACCAAATTTATTCGGATTTTTGAATTCAGATAGAAATTTTTTTTAAAAGTACCCTTTCCAATTTCTGGCAGGCAGGTATCAGTTCTTCAAGCTGATATGACAACTGTTTCTGGCAGATTTGATTCGCTGTAGCTAATGTAGGTTTTAGATATGCACACAGGCTACATGTGATATCACGCAACATGTGGAGAAATCCACAGCGTGACAGGTCTGCTGTGCTTAGTTATGTTGGCAGCTGACATATTGTAACATTGTCAGGTGTTGAATGATTTTTCAAACAGTTCATTCTTTTTGCATTCTTTATTACATTTAAATCAACCAATTTGACAAGAATTGCCTCCACTTTCTGCCCAGCCTCAGCTGTCAATGTGACAAACAACTCATGATCTCATACCTATCCATCAGAAAGACATCGGAAAAACAAAGTTTCCGTTTCTGTGCCTTTTTCGAGGCTGTTGGATCTATCGTCTCGGCTTCAGTGGAAGTGGTGGGTTGCTCTGACATCTAGCAACACAGACGCCGCTTTGTGGACATGAATGTTTCCCCTCTATTAGCTCAGAGATACATCCTGGCCCAGTCAAACAACAAGGGGATTGTGCAGGAGGATGCTGAGACAGGACCCAGTGTTGAATATCCATTGTCAATTGAGGAGACGCAAGGATAATGTTTGCCAGACTTTTAGGTTTCATGCTGTTGAGTGAGGTGGATGGTATTTGGTGGATTGAAAGAGATAATAAATACGTAGATTTTAGCCATGCAGATGGTCAGCTGGACAGGTCCACCACTTTGGTCCAGACTTAAATATAAAAACAAGCATTTGGTGGATTGCCCTGAACTTTTATACAGATTTTCATGATTCCCAGAGGAGGAATCATTTTGACTTTGGTAAATCCTTGACTTTTCCTCTTGTATGTACAAAAGAACTATTGAGGAAGGATGAAAATGTAACTTGATACCTGGAATCTAAGAGTAATACACTCATTTTCTGTTTATTTTGAGGCATGACCAATAGTTTATTTTAAAGAATATCTGTGGTGAAGGCCTCTCAATGCAGCCAGTTGTCAGCATTCTCCACATACTGGCTAAATGACTGACCGATGTGGCAGCCATTTTTTCATTTCCTTTTGCAACCCAGAGAAGGTTTGATTGAACATTGTTGCTCTTTCAGCACCTTTTTTTGGAGTATTAGTGGCAAGTCACAGTCATGTGATGCATGATCAAGTGCCAAACATTTTGAGGGCATATGCTTTTGTTGAGTTTTGGGAATTAACATCTTTTCTGTAATTTCCACTGTTTGCCATGTCGGAGATCGAGTCCAAAGTGAGTCGATTTAGCACCGTTCTTTTGCTGTTTTGTTTAGTCCTCGTTAAAGCACCAAGTTTATGCTCATTCAGAATCACCTGCACATTAGTTACGAACATCCAAACCCGATAACTGCATGAAATTAACAACACAACGAATATCTTGCCACTAAACAACCATGGAACTGTTAGAGATTATACGCCTTGATCAAGAACCCCCAACATGGAGATAATATCATGCTTTCAGTTTTACAGCCGACGTCTGCTGCTCTGACCTCCAGGCTTCTTCCTCTTTAACAAAATGTTTGTCTCCTCTCTCTCCTCCCAGTGTGACAGAGACGGTGTCTGTGAGCAGCTCTTATGGAGGAGGCGGAGGTGAAGACGAGGACCAGGCCCTGCTGGATCGCATGGCCAAACGTGAGGAGCGACGGCAGAAGCGCATGCAGGAGGCTCTGGATAGACAAAAGGAGCTGGACCCCACCGCCACAGACAGCAATGACGGCATCGCCATGAAGAAAAACAACGTCGAGGAGGAGAGGCCATCTTCCTGGCGTAGGGGTCGTTCCCGTGACAATGAGGATGAAGAGGAGAAGACAGAGGCGTACAGCTCAAGGAGAGAGGAGAAGAAGCGAGAGGAGCCGAGGGAGGAAGAGGAGGCTGCTAACGAGGGTGGAGAGGAAGCAGATGAGGGTGTTGATGAAGAGGAGGAGCAGAAAGTGGAGGTGGTGGAGGACAAACCGAGAACATCTTACTTGAGAGAACAGGTGAGTCACCTGTTCATTTATTCAGCCATTTATTGGGTTGTTTTTGCAACTAACAGTCCCTGCAAATGTGATGCTTATGTCTTCAGGAATCTACCGAAGAACCTAAAATGCACAGCAAGGTATGGTCTTTGATTTGGTCACTTCCTAGTGCACATCTGTGAGGCAATCGCTGATCTTTCTTTCAAAGGACTGCTATAAACGTTTTTCATAGGAACTCGCTGAAGAAGAAACGCATTCAGTAGTCAGTGAGATTGCAAACCAAGCCAAGTCAACCAATTCAGAGGCTGAGGAGGTGTCAGTAGCATCAGAGGAGGCTGAGGAGGTACCTGAGGATGATAATGTAGATTATTCTTCAGAGAATAAGTCTGTGACTCTCATAAATGACTCTGAAGAGGACAATGAGGTATCTGAGATACTACACACAGTGGATAATGAGGTATCATTCATGTGGTAAGCTTTACAGTAGAGGTGTGATGCACAGCACAGAACATCTCTCTGGGTAACTTCAGTGTCTTGATGCATCTTTCAGGAGATGTGTAAACTGAAATCTTTCCAGATTAAGCCACAAAAGAATTCTTTTAATAAGGCTATCTTGTTGACTTGTGATTTATGTCGGAGCCAGACGCTGAAATTACCCAGACACCCCGTGTCGTCACAGTGTGGCTTGCACCATTTGCAAACTGGCGGTAACTTGAGCCTACGTTTTAGTGGTCACAGTGTTTTTCTGCACGTCTTCCATCTCAGCTATGAGAGCAGCAACACTTATTACACAGACTCCACTCCAAAGACTCTCTGCAGCAGAGGAACATAATGTAATTTAAAATAATGTGTGTGTTTACTGCAAGGACACATCATAAGATCATTGAGCCATCGTATCATGTGTCTACTTCCAGTCAAACGTTTTATAAAAATTCGAAATTACAAATGTCATACTTTTCCACAAGTATGTTTTTAACCAAGCAAACCCATGATCTGTTTTTTAATGCATCAATAAAGGCTTCCAATTTATCACACAACCCAAAACTTGCATCTTTCGAACTCTTCTCGACACAGTTGAATGTACACTTTACAATTTGATCTCTTGTGTCGCCTTCTCTTACATCGACAAACAAAACAGAACTAAGCATTTCATTTTGTGGTCAGTCCGGGTCTGTCCGACCTGTTTTGACGAGCGCTCCTCTTAGTTTCGAGAGCCTCTGATAATGTAAACAGAGATGCTCAGAGACACGACATGTTTCTTGGCTCTTTCCCTGTTAAGATGCATTTCTTGTGACGTTTCTTATTCTTCCTGTTTTTGAGCTGACATTTGCTCTCTATAGCACAGATTAATGCAAAGACTTAATTATAGTAAGTCATTAAAAAGAGTCTTAATGACTTTATCAAGACAGGTGTTAAGTAGGTCCACCAGCTCAGCCTATAGTATGTTAAAAATGCATAGACTGTGCTAGATAGCATCAAGAATGAGACAAATGCACCCTCGGTGCTACAGGTTAATAATATATGATGCTCGAAAAGCTTGACTGGCAGTGTACATATTGGGCTTGGACACATAATGATTATAATTTATAAAAGTTGAATGATGTATTCATGATGGTCAGAGATACAAAATATACAGCGGGGGACACTCCCATGGTGATCACATGTTGGGTAATCCGGTCTCACTAGTTATGCTGGAGTGGACTCTGTGTTATGTGACGTTCTGTGTTGTTTTGTTTGGGGTGTGCTCTCGTTCTCTTCCTCGTTCGACATCCCGCGATGTCACATGCCAGACTCATGCCCATTCAGCCTACCCACCAGTCGCACCGTTGCTCACTGTCCCCGTGGTTGTTTCTGTGTGCAGGTGAATGAGAGAGGCTGGGTCAGGGAGGATCAGGGGAGGCAGAACGGAGCGCTGCACGAGGAGGAGTCGACTCCCAACCAGCACAGGAAACCTGAGAGGACCCTCAGGTACACAGACGCAATAACACCGGGGCCAGCCAGGCCTGATGAATTATTCAAGAAACTCCATTTTCAACAAAGTTCATGTCCCAATTAAGAATGAGTGCCCAAACAAATCAAAAATAATGAACTGAATGAGATTTGTCCTATAGCTAAAATAGGAAAAATCAAAATAGTATATTCCATCTAATTCCACATATGTTCTCCTATTTACCGGAGATGCATCATTATGGATGCTTTATCCCTTTTTTCCCCCACATGCATTTTCAATATTTTCCCTCCTGGCTGATACTCATTACATAATTGTAGATATATATTTGTATATTGTGTGCACATTTGGTTCTGTCTGTGTGTGTTTTCTTCCAGTCCTTCCAGTGTCTGTTTAAATATTCAGTTTGTATCAAATGTCAAGTGTTAACCTGAACGTAAACCAGCTTTGCGTGCTACTTCCACGGTTTTTGTTGCTGTTGTGACCTGCATGTGTGCTCAAACCCGCATCTGTGTGTCTGTCCCAGTCGCGGCAGTGTGCGTTCCCCCGAGGTGTCCGCTGGTGACGACCAAGACGACGCTGCCCGTCTGGAGGCGGAGCGCAAGCTGGAGGAGCTGAAGCGCCGACGCGACGACGCGGAGAGCGAGGAGTTTGAGAGGATGAGGCAGAAGCAGCAAGAGGCCGAAGCCGAGCTGGAGGAGCTGAAGGTGAAGAGGGAGGAGAGGAGGAAGGTGCTGGAGGAGGAGGAGAGGCAGAAGAAGCAGGAGGAGGCGGAGAGAAAAGCCAGGGATGAGGTAAGGAGTGAGAGTCAGTCACTTTATCGATGCTGTTTGATCAGTTCAGCTCTGACTGCCTGTGTTTCTCTTCTCCCTTTTATCCAATTTCTTCTTCATGATTTGTTGAATTCAAACTGAAATATATTTTTATTTTTAGGAAATATACACTATAATGATGCAGGTACCGTACAAAGTTCAAAAGAGGATCCAAATGTTTTTAGACATATTTGAGGAAACAACGTCGAAGCTTCAGGCGCCTTAGACTGAAATCTGAGAGCAATTTCCATGGTGTGCTGCTAGCTGGAGCACAGAACCCTTTATAGCCTACGTATGGTAATACACAACTTATTCTATGGATTTAAGACAAGCAAGCTTAGAAATAAGATATGTGTGCATTTTAAGTTCAGTTTGATTTCAGTCTTATTTGTCTCATTTATTCCTCTTCACGTTATATCTTTAGATTTCACAGCCCACGTCCTTTTCCCTTGTTTTTCAAATCACCACTTTCATGTTGATTTAGCCTTTACACCTGTGTGAGCTGAAACCCATGCATCACACTCATGCTAGCGCCGCAGTGACGTTATCTCGCCATACTTCTCTGTTATCACGACTCCAGCTATTTGGGTCCCTATCTCATAACTCATGCATGTCATTCCTTCATCCACCTTTTACAACAAACCTCATCATTATGTATCTCAAATGTGATAACCTCCTTCTTCCTATGTGTTCAAATCTGTATTCAACCACGCAATGTCGTCCATTTTCCCCTTCATCCGCTCGCTCTGAGGCTCTGCGTTCTCGCTGTTACCCTGACTGGTCTTCTTTGTTGATCTCGGTTCTGAGTGTGGCGGCCCGTCTCTCGCTATTTGCCCCCGTTCTTCTCCTCTTGTGTGATGTTAATGAGGCCTTTTGGTTTGTAATTAAAAGATGGCCCAGAGATAGAGAGAGACTAATTAACCAAGACAAGGCTGCTGGAGTGGGGTGATACACTGCCAAGCACCAGCCCTCTTCTGAATACAGTACAAATGGTTCATACATTAATTGGGTTTTTTTTTAAACTGTTGATAGTCTGCATGTCTCAAGCTTTCCAAAATGCCTTTTTTTTTTTTTCCTGAGGCAGGTGATCACTGTAAATAAGAATTTGTTCAGAGCAATTTAATTTGTTCCTGGCCTGCTTCATTAGATAGAGTAAGTAAATCAATTAGAAAGTGGCACATAGCTATTGTCTGGGTTGGCTGCATTCCTGATTGTTGGTTGTCGGTCATGTTATGCTATTCAATATAATAACCCATAAACCACGGGAAAGTCATTCAGCGTATACCCAGTCCTTGAAAGATTTTGCATTTCCTGCTCACGACACTCTGGGTCTGTGAGTCCGTTCCGAGGGAAAATCTAGTTGTGCACAGGAAGCAGGCTTTAGGTTTCCAGCAGCAACAGCGGTTTGTTTAGAGTAAATACAAGAGCAATGTCGGCTTTAGCAGCAATATCCTGCACGGCTGGGCTGCCAAAAAACAGAGCGCCACCTAGGTATGCCTTAATGAAATTAACAAGCTCCCTGTCGACTCCAAATATGCTGCGAAACAAAAAAAATGACAACGCAAACTTAATTTCTTTCTCACACTGCATCTGCTGAACTGCCTCAACTCTCAACACATCTGTCTTGTCTCAGGAGGAGAAGAGGAAGATGAAGGAGGAGATTGAAAGGAGGAGAGCAGAGGCAGCTGAGAAGAGACAGAAGGTGGAGGACACTATGGACGGGGAGGGCAGACCCTTCAAGTGTGTCAGCCCTCGAGGCTCCTCTCTGAAGGTCGGTCCGCCATTTTTAACCTCCAACCTCTCCCTCTACGCATTCAACAGAAGAATGTCAGTGCTGTTTTATTGGCCAATTGACCGTTTTGGCTCATAGTTATTGTTGCTTCATACTATATACATATAAATATATATATATATATATATATATATTACATTCTTCAAACAGTTGGTCCTTGATTTTAGACGATTCAGTCTTGATGGTAACATGCATGCTGTTGTGCTAGAAGTATGTAAGTAGAAAAAGTAATCGTAGAAGCAATAATGTTCTTTAATGTTCTGCTTTTCAGAGCTAGTTAGTCCTAGTATTCTAAGTTTGATAGTGAAAAATGTGAAACCCTGTTTGGCTGCTTAACTTTCCAAAATCAAATAAAGATCATGCCAGAGCTGCTAACGTTACCCTACGCTCTTATTATAGTAGCATTATTTTATAGTAGCTCTTACTACAGCCTCCTGCATAGCTAAGCTATGATAAGACTATAGCTGCTCGAGGCAGGGCTTTAGTCAATTAATCAGACAATTTTTCATAAACACAGATTTTTCATTCCGATATTTTAAACAAGTGTAACTATAAAAAACTTTGCCTTTTTTTCTGTCTGTATATAAATCCGTCCAGTACAGTTGTCAGCCAAATGGATTCGATATAATAGTTCTCCAAAACCTGCAAATCCCACTCATCCGGCAGTGCAGCAAAGCTCAAGCTAAACATTCAAAATATTTGGAGAGATTAAGTGCCAGATGACCCGCTCCTGCCCTTCTCACCTCTTTTAGCTCTCTGCATGAAGTGTTATCTGACTGAGATGAAGGTGTTCAGAAATAGAAAGACCCTCAATGAACTAGGGGGAGAACTGGCAAGTTTTTCTGGATTTCATTTCGCTGTTCACTTTGAAATTCTGCTGACACGTCACCCTGTTTGTCACAAGCAACGCTGCAATAGGAAAAGCAGCCTGAATCAAACCCAGCGCGTGGCCCTCCCCACCTCACCCAAAGATAAATGTTTGTCACGGCGAAGGAACAGTTAATCAACTCAAATGTGAATAGATGTTGCCAACAGCCAACTCCCACACGCTGGAAATCGAGGGGGATTTTCAGCCAGTGGAGAAAATCAAATTAGTGACAGTTAGCAGTAATATCCATCTGGCCCGTCCTGGTGAGACTCCAGATTCATGGCTGAAAACAGGCCAGGGCTACATTCTTATGCTGCAGAAGTTAGGCCTACTTTCTGAAACCTCAATACAGTATTGAGGTTAAAACTGTGTTAATTGGATATTTCTCAACAGCGAATTGGTTTGAAGTGTTGTTGGTCAACAGAGTTAAAACTCAAATGCAGAAAGGCTTCTGTTTGAACAAAATACGTTTGAAGATTAACAAGTAACCTTCCATACAAGGGTTGGGTGATTCTTTTCATTTTTACATCGTCCCACTGTGGTAAACTCACCAGTAGAGTTGTTCCGATATCAATAGCAGGATCGAAAAATGCCTCCGATACAGCCTAAAATGCTGGATTGGGTATCAGCGAGTAAGCGGGTCAGATAATTTTCGCCTCACACTAACGACAGCAACTTGTGTCACTCACTTCCCGATCCGTACATGCTGCCTGAACGGTGCTGCGCATGTGCAACTCTCAGCAGAAATGAGAAAGAAGCAAAATAGCTCACTCTTCAGCCACTTTAATCATCTGCTCCGGAAAAAACCCCGAAAATCGATGATGGAAGCTGACGAGTGAGCCATCTTCCTCCTTTCTCATCTCTGCTGAGACTTGCTCATGTGCGGTTTGGATCAGGCAGGTGCAGGAAATTTGGCAAAATGTTACACTTGTGAATCCCAGCAGTAAAACGAACATGTGTTTTTAACACACTGGCATTGGAATGGTACTCTGTGTCAGCTAATACTCAAGTTCAGGTATCATAAAATCTCTATTCGTTACGTCACAGCACACCAGTGAAATGCCAGCATGTACGACTTAGCTATTTTAACAATGAATGTAAACTGCAAATAGGTGAATGAACATTTCTGCACACATTTACGGTAGCTCTGGAATCGATCACTTTGTTTGTGGTCAGTTTTGTAAATAATGTTCAACTGTAATTTTCCACCATGCTGCACTCGCCTCACAGACACAACTTTACTTTGTGGTGATGTTCACCGTAGGTGCAGCAGAGTGTGTGTGTGTGTGTGTGTGTGTGTGTGTGTGTGTGTGTGTGTGTGGGCATCTGTCTGTTTTACTTTTCATACACTACACTCTGTGCTGTGTGTATGAATTGTTGCTTCGCAGTGTAACCCTTTTTGTTTTTATTTATGTGACACTATTACCCTGGTATAATGTAGTTGCATTGTATATTGTCCCCCAACCCAGCGCGGGCAGTTCTTAGACGCCTGTCAACAGTCGTTTTTAAAATTGCATTCATGCCATTGAGAACATACATTTTTTTTCTTTATTTTTTTATTTTTTTTGCCCAACTGTCATATTGTGACTAAAACATCAACAACAGTGAAACATAGCAGCAATCACCTCCCCAGTGGAAAAACACAGCAGTAAACCAGCATAACCCTGCTCTGTGCTGGAGATAAAGCTCTGTCCTTCTCTCCGTGAGAGAAGGACAGAGCGACGGAACGAAGGACAGGCTGCTGGGATGCAGGAAAGCGATTAGGGTTAACAGGATTACTGTAACTGAGTTCGGATGGCTACGGCTCTTTAAAACATGTCTCAGAATGGGGAATTTCCTGTCGGGGAGTATTTTGGGAACTCCCACATTCGGTAGCAGCCGATCGCAAGTTCCCTTTTCACAGGGGGAGGGGGAGTGAGTTTTGCCTTTTGTCCATTTAGTGGGGTTTTTTGTGAGGGTCTAAGGAACCATGCGTTGCCCCCTCTTTTTTTTAAGAATATCATAAACAATCCTCTGAGTCTCCCACAATCCAACAGCACATAGCAGGAAAAAAAACTTGCTGTGTGTTTTTGTGCGTTTGTGCATGCCTTTCAGAGCATTTTGCACAGGGAGGGAACAATTACTTACATTGTGTGTTGCTATTCAGAAGGATCCAGCATATGAATAAAAATAGACAAAATTATATATCCACCTTTAAAAGACTATTATTGGCAATTATTTAAATTATGAACCATAAGGACCAGTAATATCTTGTGTGTCTACATATTGACTTAGATGAAACTACTCATACTACAAAGACATAATAGAAGCATGGAAATCAAAAGGAAGGTTAGTTTTAACATTTGTTTTGAAGTGACTGAAGAGTCAATGGAAATGTGTTGTAGCGGTGTGTGCATATGAGGAACATCACTGCAATATTTATTAACCTAGAACTCCCATAACCTTTCTCAACAGATTGGGGAGAGGGCGGAGTTCCTGAACAAGTCAGCACAGAAGAGGTAAAAACATACTGAAGCATCATTCAACAGATCATGTTGTTGTTTTTCCCACGAACAAAGCTTTTAGTGGAGCATGTAAGCCTTGCAGTCCTGTTCTGCTGAATAGAAAGAAATGTACCCCAGGGTTTAAATCCCTCTTGGGGTTGCAAATGTCTTCTTCTCAAGGCAGTAAAGATGGCTGACCACACTGTGTATAATATCCAGAGCGGTCCCATGCTGTGTTTGCTAACCATTTGCTTCTGCCCAGCAGCACAGTGAAGGCGTCTCATTCTCCCGTGGTGTCCAAGATAGACAACCGGCTGGAGCAGTACACTTCAGCTGCTCAGGTTAGCTTTTCCTCCACTGTAAAATTGCAAAAATGTTGAAGCATTTTGGCGGTATTGTGACATCAGCGTGGGTGACACATGACATTTGTCTTATTAAGTTTTTATCTCTGTGTCATGCAAAACATTTGCACTATCCCGCTTGGGATTACAAGGCCCAGCTTTATAGCAAACATCAAAAATGTAACAAGACTTCTTGCAGGAACACATACACAAAACCAATAGACAACTATCAGGTATTACATGTACTCCTATATACTATAAAATGACATGTATTTATTTCAAATAGATTGTAAAAAAGATTTAAAAAAAGAAGCGTAGTTTATCCTCATGGTTTCCTCGTCTCCCATGCTTTAAAATAACAATAATTATAATAACAAATAAAATAAGTGGCCGACTTAAGTATTTCATAGCCAACTCGATCTTTGTACATCTTCCATTAAAATAAAATCTATTTTTTCTTTTGTTATATTACTAACGGTATTGTGTGGTTCCCAGTCAGAAACACAATAGAAAACAAAATAAAACTTGTCTGTCAAAGCCAGACAACGGGGCTAAGGCTATCCTGGATGTGGCGTCAACATCACGTGTCAGATAGCAAATAACGTAATGTAAGTCAATTATAATCAGATTAGAGCAACATGGCTGAGACAAATCTATAGAATCCTGTACTTACTTAAGACTGACGAGATTACAATGTCCTGACCTGATCTGATTCCATTCTTGGTACCTTTTCTGAGCCTAAATGTTGTATCACATACACTGTAGTAATTTCTCACATTATTCTCGTCATTAATAGCAGCTCAGTCGTTGTTGTCGACCGGTATCTGAGCTTTGATCTGAACAGCCATCTCTGCTATTCACCAATTTAATCCCAATTTAACCACTTTGTATCAGCAGAGGGAGAACAAGGAATCTCGATCCCCTCGCTCTGGAGCAGTAGATCTCCCCATGGTCACAGACAGCATGCGAAGCATCAAGAGCATGTGGGAGAAAGGCAACGTGTTCGGCACACCTGGAAGTGGCGGAAGCCCGTTCAAGGTAAGAGTTGAGGTGGTGGAGGATGTGATAAAGTTGATGAAACGTTGTGTGAGCAGAGAGTGAGAGAGAGGAAAGAGCCCAATTCACTGGCACTTCCTGCTCTGCCTTGTTGCTGATGACGACCAGGCTCAGCTGACCTCTGACCCTATCCAAACAGGAAGCAGCTGTGATGAAGACAGGCGTGGCGGGTCGCATTAACGACTGGCTGAATAAAACCCCGGAGGGCGGCAAAACGTCAGGAGGAAGACCAACGGTAGGTCGCTGCTGCCAGGAAGTACAGTACATGTACTGTACAGCTCAGAGTCCGACATACAACAGCTACTTTAATGGACCTACATTATGGTTCTTTAGATGTGTGTAGATTTCAAAGATATTTTTCTTTAAATCTGAGGATCTAATATCTACTTTAAAGACCCTGGAAAAAAATATAGGAACAATTTGTTCCCAATGAGGAGAGAGTTATGCAGCGGCCAAAAGAAAAAGCGCTGCACCCAGTGTCTTTCTGAGCACTCTGACCTTTTTGTTCTGGGCGGGACTCTTATTAACCACGAAAATGGAGCAGAAGCTTGTTTTTGTCCGACAGATTGTGTCACACACCCGCATCCTCATTGCTCTACGGCTGTCAGATCATCCTCATGCAAAGTGTATGAGGGCACGCATCCTCCGGTCGGTGCTCATGGTGAAAGAACAAAGTCAAACAAACTGACAGCTTAAATAGATAGTAAAACGCAAAGGGGGGGATGGTACACCGGCAGTTAGAGTGGTGATATTGTTGACATAGAAACAAAACCCACGCTTCACAAAAAAATGCTTTTTTTTGCCAGAGAAAAACGCTATATGGACACATTTAAAAGAATATTCTGTGCTATTCTTACTGGTTTGAAGTGGGACGGACTCAGTTGGAACAATGTGATGAACTGTGCTTGAAATTGAGACAGAATAGATTAATGCAACATTTACTTTGTTCAAAAGGTTTTAAAAAGCTTACTATTATCATTTGTATGTGTCTTAAGGATTCAGTAGTCAGTTGTGCATTGGAACAGTGACCCTGTAACATCTGAACTGCAATCATTCCAGCAATCATGATCAAATGCAGTACTCTCCCTCCTATATCAGCCCATCATTATTATTATCATTATGTTTTGTACTGCAGATATCTAATAATCATTTATAAATGATGCAGGTTGAGATGGTGTCTGTCTGGCACCCCCTGGTGGCCACAAAGTAAAGAAGCTTCTCCATTGTCTACAGTCCACTGTTACATGTGTCATAACATACATATACAGTACATGTAGATATTGAGGACTTGGCATGAGTTTTGTATACAGTGTCACTGAAGCATTTTATCTTAAGCTTATCATAAGCTTTTTTTCTCAGTCTGGCTCATGTGTGTGGCTCCATGCCAGTGTCATCATGCCTCTCTCCACTCTTAACCGTATTTCACACAAATATTTATGTTGGAGCTTTCCATGTCGCAGATTTCTGCTTGTGCTCAAAAAGGTAACACACAGCAGGAGAGACTGAGGATATGAAAGAGAGTGTCCAACAAGTAAATATTTCCATCAGACAAAACTGGAACTCTTTTGCCGAAGCTTTCCCAATATTCAAACATATGGAGTGTCTTGAAGAAGAATTGCCTCAGACCCGTAGTGAGAGTGCTATTTTCCACTTCCTTTAGACAAACACCTCTCTGCTTGACGGTGTCTGTCAACCTTTGCTCTCATTCCTCAAGCTCTCGGTCCTCCTCTGTCATTCCCTCTCCTCTACACCTCAGATACTCTGTCATTGTCGCATAATGACAAACTATTTTCAAATTGACCTACAAACGCTGGGCCCTCTGAGCACCGCTGATGTGATGCTTTGTCTTTGCCTCTCGTTCTCTGCCTTCCCCTCTGACAGGACCTGAAGCCGGTTGACGTCACTAACAAGAGGAGTCTATGGGAAAACAAAGGTTCCTCTCCAACCAAGGTAGCTAGTTTTTATTTAAACTATTCCCTAGTATCATGCTGAGGACTTTGTATGGTGATGATCAGTGTTTCGGTCTCAAACGTCTGGGAAAATCCAAATGAGCATCCAGATGTAGTTTTAACCATGCCAATTTGGTTTGTGGTCTTAAAAGGATTTCCTGTGGTTTTTCATAGTTTTCCAGATGTCAATCAAGGGAACGTTCTGTTAAAGACATGGTGTAGGAATATTGTAATTATAATAATAATAATCTCAAGATTTTGACGCTGGTGTGGCAGGAATCGGAGTAACATTCACTTATGTTTGTTTTTGTTTTAAAGAACTCTCATAGCTAGTTGACCTCACCGTTTAATCTGGAATAAGCCTGGAGAGGTAAAGGTTTAATTGTTCCATGTTTCTTCAAAGCACTTATCACAGAATGACCTCATGCTCTGCTGTCACACTGTCCACTTTTTGCTCTGTGTTGTTGGCAAAACTCTGCTCTGTTCTGCTGTGGTTGGACGCTGCTGCTTATTTTAATCATAATGATTATATCTTAAGAGTTTCGGTCCACAGTATTTATGATTTGAAGAATGTGTTGTGGCATACTCTCTCTCTCTCTCTCTCTCTCTCTGAATATTATTCAAGTCCCTTCACACACAAACTCACAACCTTTTAGAGGATGTAATTATGTGCATTTTGTAAACGTTGAGCAATAAACATCAATTGCTTTCCAAAAAGCACATTTAGGAATGAAACCTGTAAAGCGTGTGTGACAAATGTTCCAAGTGCTGTAAAATAAAAAGGAACAAAGAGAACATGTCAACGAAGTCATCGTTAAGCCAATTGTAAAGCCTCGCGCCGTCTACTCCATTAACACCCTTAACTTGTTAAGGCTGACTCAACAAAATCCAGAAGATTACAGTTCCGTGTAAATTCTGCGTCATAAAAAAAAACTTTTCGCCTGTTGTCCAACTGCAGTCTGAACGCTTTTCACAAATGGCTGTATCACATCACCGCTCCCTCTTCTGACAACCACAAATCACCACTCTCAGTCCAACTTCACTTGACTTTATATTGCCCTAATGGAGAAGCTGTTTACAGCATTCTTTACAAGGAAGAAGCCTTTGCTGAGTTGCACAATGGCTGTTTGACATTATTGAATCACTGTTATCACCTCACATTTTCAAACAAGTCTGGCTAAACCTGACATGAATACATTGTCTTATCTCTATTTTTTATACATAGATAAAGCTGTGTTTGTAGAGCTGCAACGTAGGACTGAAGCCCCACATTTTAAAAAGACAAAGATGTCCCACCTACCCACTTAACTTTAGTATAAACCTTCCTTCCTTCCTACACTGGTAGCAGTGTGTCCCTGCAGCCAACAGCTGCCGTGCGGACCGGAGGCTGTGGTCCGCCACAGTGAGTAGTTGGGTTGGAGGGCACCAGGCGGCGGTCTGCACTGACGTAAAACAGGCCCTGGAAAGGAAAGGTAGCGGTTAGCGGCCTTGTCATTAGCTAACCATGCTATGCTGTGATGTCAGGGAAGGCAAGATGAGCAGGCTAATGATTGTTGAGGCAGACCTGGATAGGTTCAACAGTCTGTATAGGTGGAAGTGTGAGCTCAGAAGTGGTTCTAGGCCCTTTCTGCTTTGACTGTAGGCTTTGCAAGTATGTTTTGCTACCTCTCTGCGTCTGTCTTTGTCGTTGCCTCCTCGTCACCTTCCTGTTCTTCATGTCTTGCAGGTGGCAGGCAGAGGGGAGACCAAATCAGTCGCCAACGGTGAGTTTTTACCAGGCACCCGAAGTGTCAGCTTGTAACTGTAGAGCTCGTTAATGTGTGTGCAAGAGAACACACAAATGGGCGGGCGGAAATGCGAGCATGCATACTGGATGGCAAACCTGTGGCTCCAACATTTCAACTTTTCAGAACCTCTGATATGACACCTTTTTCTTAGCTTAGCTGCAGTCCGTTTTTACTCTTTTAGTTAAAGTAAAAACATAGAAATGACCAAAATGAGTTGAAAGGTTTTACCCAGAAAGTAACCTACTTGTACTTGTAGGCAGCCTACTTGCTGACAATACACAGGCTGAGTTTAAAGGGAAGCTCTACAATCTGAAAAAAGGACAGAGATTGTAGACAACCATTTCTCTCCTTTGATTCCACCAATATCCAGGTGTCTCACGGACATGATCCCTCACTGGCCTCTCGCCAGCAAACATGTCCAATTGTGTTTGTTGGGAGAAATGTCCCAGCACTTTTACAAGGCGGTAATTCTTTCAGAGACTGGGGGTGTGACCTTCTCCATAAGTGTGCCATCTCGTCCCTGGCTCTTTGATTTATACGCCACCATGTGTTACAAAACCATCACAGCCTTCCCTGCAGTCTTTTTCAGTTCGCTGTTTGGCCGCCTCACCGTTTTAGGATGCCACTTAGGGCATTGCTTGCTATTTTAAAATCCGAACTGAGCGCCGCCTCCTCCTCCTTTTGTTCTCCCAGCGGGCAAAAGAGGGGCTTTGGCCTTGAGCGAATCTCTACATGTGGGTTGTTCAGCGCACAGCATTACACACACATAAATACACACCAATTTCACCTCTGTAAACCCACTCATCAGCCATCTTGACGCCACTCAAAGCTTTCAGCTTTGCCACTCGTGTGCACCTCAACTTGTGCTGCTCAGGCCGCGGTGCTGCCTCTCGTGTTACGAGTGTGAGAGGCAGTGTTCCTGCCAGGCTGATTTGTCACAATTATTGCTGGTATGTTGGAGATTAGCACACCATCACAGTCTGACTCAGAGGATGACCGAGGCTTTGTATAGATTTTGTAATTTAGTAGTTGGCTGCAGAAGCTTGCAGACATTTGAGACCACATGTGAGTTAGCAGCCTCACACTCTCCACATGCTTGGCTCTATTGGAGAACTTCCAATTCTGGTCATTTAAATTCAAAATTTAAATGACCAACAGACATTTATAATGTTTGCAAGTCTGATTTTGGATTCATGTTTATCGCCATTTTGTCAAATTCTCGGAGCCTGCAAATCTAAATAAGAGGACGTTTTGAGTTGAGTCTGGGCAGAGCTAAAGTGGGGCAAGCAAGCAGCACTAGTAGATCTGTCAATCAAGCAAAGACCCCCAAAAAAATCTCTCTCTCAAAGTTGTTGTCTTGTTAATGGAATTGTAATTTTAATAATTCTGACCCAGAAACAAAAGCAGTAAAAATCATTTTGAGTCGTAGTAAAAAAAAAATGAAAAAGATTGGAAGAGCTGAGGGTCTTTTATTAAAGCAGGCATAGCGGCCTTTAAACTGCACACTGACTGCAGTTAACCACACGTGGTGTTTGTTGCTTGGTTTGACCCTCTGTGTCACAAGATCAGAGTTATTAACTCACACCTGTCTGCAGACTTGTAGTAACGCCGCTGATGGACTCGTTTTGTGTCTTTCACCAGGTATGGGACACTAGTGTCTTGAAGGAGCCACTAAAGCTGGGGACCACGACAATCCAAGACTCTTCCTTTGACTTTGTCTTTAGAACCAAATAATGATTACACTCCCAAGAGGAAACCCAAGAAAACGGAGGGACAGGAGAGACGCTGTCCGAGCACTGTACCGAAACAGCATCATATCTTTGTACGGTTGCCACGTATAGTGCCTTTGCACAATGATTCTTGCTTTCTAAAAGAAACTAAATGCTGTGAAATTTGGACATTTGTAATTACTATTACTAATTACTTTATACAATCCTGTCAGGAAGAAAAAAATAATTAAATTTAGATTTATCTGTTGTACTCCATGTCGACAGTTTGGATAGAGACGGAATAGAGGAGTTAAAAGTTTCCACATTCCAAAGAGATGGGTGCAATCAGTTCTCTCCCTCATACAGTACATTTTCCATCTCTTTTTTGTATTTATATTTAAAGCAAAAGCTTCACACATTGCTATTTTATTCAACGTTCACCAGTTCAGGATAGAAATATAAGCACTTCTAGAATTTAGCTGATTTCACTTTTATTATTGTCTTACCAATAGTGCAGCAATGGTCTGAGTAATATATGTTAGCACATGTGATGTTTTGAATATGACCTATCATACTGTATCTTATATAACATTTTTATACTCATTACAAAAGGTATTTTTGCTTCTTCTTTTTTGTATCCAGAAACGTTTCAACAACAGGCAGTTGATTTTGGTGGTAATAAGAGTGTTGAATATTCAGAAGGCCATTACGACTTTTATTATCCTTTGTGTTATTTTATTTATGTTTTAATGTGTTTTGTCCTTTTCTATTTCTCGCTGTTTTTGTAGCTTTTGTGCCTGTTTGATCACTTTAAAATCTTCAGACATTCCTCTTAAAAAGCAGGTGGAGAAGGTGCCTTCGCTGTAGGTTTTACAATGTAGGAAATCTGCAAACCAACCCTCTTTTTTTTAGAATCTACCTTAACTTCTAATAATTACTAACTCTTCTTTATTGCCTCTATGCACACTCTTTCGCTCAGCGATCATTTTCTAATTGATGGCATTTAAAGTAAAATCAGGGTGCCGAAGCATATATAGCAAGATACTAGTACAATACAAGGATATTTACCACTATGTAAGTCTTCTGGCCTTATGATTGCAATCAAAACATGTATGACAGCTGAGGTAAATGATAGCCTCAAAGCAACTCAATATGATATTAAGACTTATGATTTTCATGTTTATTTTTCACTGATGTGGTCTTAAGTAGCACGTTCCCTTCGATAGTTTTTTGCGCGACACAAGCTGATGATATTATTGGTTTGCCAGGGCATTACATTGATCAATGTTACTGCTCAAAAGTCTGACAATCACATTCCATGGCTCCTGAAAAGAGCAGGGTAGCTTGACCTAAATGTGATTTAATGTGACATTTATGTTTGTTTTTAATACAGTGGTTTCACAATGTTTTTTGCTTTGTTTCTACAACCTTTTGTCCATTTTATGTTTTTTAAAGTTCTTCCATGTTTAACCAGACACTCGTTTGTGTAGCGCAAAGCCTATGCAAAACACACTATCTGTAGCCTCTCTAAACACTTCCAATGTCATACAAGTGGGCAGTTTCCAACTGGATGAATGTTTTAAACATTGTACGCTTCACTCAACAACAGCAATAAAGACATTGAGGTATTCCACATTGTTCATTCATTTTCTATGTTTTTCCCACGCAACATTTTCTTTTCCTCATGCTACTTTAAACAGAAAACCCTGGTGGCTAAACGCACTTAACCCAGTAGAGTAATTTATGAATAAATATAAATCTGGATTAATGATGCTGTTATTTAGCATTATTCTCACATTTAAGCTCAGTGGCTGAGTGCGCGTGCGTTTTGTCGGTTCCAATCTATTGCACTTGCCTGGAAAGGCCTACAAGCTCGCAATGTTAAGTGCCTTCGGGGCTCAAAGTTGGGAAATCAACAATGCGCATGCCCGACGTCTTTGGTAATGAAAGCAACACATCTGATGCCACGTCGGGCTGATTGCTTGTTGCACCGCTGCAATTTGATTGGCTGTTTGCCAGCTGCTGTCAGAAGGTGCGCTCTCGAACAGCCATGTGGATTATCTCGTACAGCACAGGCGTGGAAGTTTATCTTTGTAAGAAAAACGTAACATGAAACACTTCGGTACCCACTTGTCGCGGGATATTTTTTATAAACCAAACCACTTATAAAATAATGCACATTTAACGTGGAGTGGTTCTCGGGGGTGAAAATGGCTAACTGCTAGCTTTGTCAGATAAGACGGCGTGTTGCTTCCGGTGTGTGCTACTCGGAGAGATGGCACCATGGATGTGTAAAGAGAAGAACTATCTACGACGGCGCAAACGGCGATTTATTTGAGGTAACGTGAAATGATATGTACACTGTCGGGATATCACGTGTGTTCGTTTGTGTGGGATATGTGAGATAACGCTCTGAGTTCAGGTAGCCATCTGTTAACTTGACTTTGTTAGTGTTGGCTAAGTTTGGTTTGTGATTGTTGGTAAAGAAAGAAAATAATTTTAGAAACTAAAATATGTATCACTTAATCAGAAAAATAATCAATAGATGAATCCATAATAAGAACAATAGCTGAGTAAAGCCCTTGTAGCACATAGCATGTAATATCAAGCATAGACACATTTAAAGGACACATTTGGGAGACATATAGTCAAGTCGTCTGCTGCCTTCAAGTGCTCTCAGAACTATTGTAATTAGGTAGTGTTCAGGATTCCGTCATAATCAAGGTGTGTTTGGCATTCATCTATAAACTAATTCTGTTGCATGCCTTTTCTACTATACTCAGAATTAAGCAGGAGGCAGCTGTGTGCTGTCTCAATTCTCAAAATAAATGAAAACAATAAAACAGAAATGTTTGACAAGATCTATTTTTTTTTTCCACCCCAGACTTTGGGATCAAGTTGTATTTCCAATTTCTGGCCTTGAATGTGGCAGATTACGTGGAGCACTTGAAGGCAGCATTCCTCTCCAGGTGTAACTCATTTTCTGCCTCCAACAATAGAACTGACAACCCCACCAGTCACAGAAGAGATATGTGGTCACATGATGGACAGAGTTGTATTAAGTGTGCTTTTTGGATGGGCGGGGGGTGATGATTGAACTTGTGTTCGTCTGGATGTGAAAGAATCCGACCTAAATTGGCTGCTAATCCTATCTCTTCCTCAGGGATATACAGGAGGTAAGATCTGAGCATGACCTCTCTCTGCATGATGGCAAAAAGGTCAAGAAATGCATTGTTTGAATTGACATTGAAGTACACTTCATACTTTGCCATTTCTAATGACACTGAAATGTTCATTTGAAGTGAATTCTGTCGTCTGAGATTCCTAAACCTCCCCAGCATGATCTAACAAACTAGCTGTTACTCCTACCAAGTCACCAACGCTGAATTAGATTGGCTCAGACATTTTTTCTAAGTAGAGTCTTAAAGATTTTCTGTTTTTTGTTTTATGTGTTCTGATCCGAGCAGTGCATATGGTGGTGAGGAAGGTGCTGAGCTCGCCCCTGAGACAGCGGTGTTGGTAGCATGCTTCAGGCTTTGACTAATACTGCCTAATGCCCAAACCAGCACCCGCAGCATTCCTGCCACTGTCAGACTGTGTGTTATTTCACAGTTCCAGCCAGACGGGGACTGACCGCATGCATTAAAGCAAATACATGTTTAATACCCCAGCCATGACAACCGTCATACACTGTAAATTCTTTCTGGGTTTCCAGTCAGTGCTTTTTCTCCAACCAGATGGTATTCCTCTATTTCTCAGTCTTTCTCCTCTTCACATTTCTCTTTCCTCATCCATTTGACATCAGCTGCTCCATCTGATCACGCGTGTAACAACCACACAGGGACCCCAGGCACCACACTGTTTGAATTCGAGCAGATATGTAACAGAAGTTGAACAGAAGCGTGACTTTAGACATTAACCATATATATAGTGAAGGTGTAAATACGGCATGCAGAGATTTAATGTGCAGCTGGCCCTTTGGAACGACTCCGAAAGAGGGAACAGGAGCGTAGCCAGGCGTGAGGAGGGGGGTCGGACCGGGGATCCAACATCACCCCTTCAGTATATCAAATAAGTCTGTATTATTAAATCTGAGATACAACTTGATTAGCGTTAATGTTTAAGAAGCAAGACTTCTGAGATGCGTTGTTAAATACAAAGCTCCCCAACCAGCAGCTGACCAAACCGCAATGACAAAAATAGCCCGTCTGAATGCGGGACCCTGCTCATTGACTTACTGCGAGTACGGTGAGGTGAGCCAAACCTATTGTCTGGAGGAGTAACTCCACACCTGTTCAAAAGCACACTTTATTATTTTTAAAAATAGACCCTCGCTCCCCTCCACCGTTCAGCCCACTGACACCGCTTTTTACGATGTGAGGATTTATAAGCCCATGGAAATAAACCTGGTCGAAGGGTTGTTCTGACACGTAACTGATATATATATTTAATAGGGGACTTAAGATACCATACAGAGCCTTATTGACCTTGGCCCCAAACACCCCAATGTTCCTTTTTAAAAAACAAAGATCGGAATTTATCCTCAGAAATCTACTGTATATGTAATGTATATGAAAATATTTAACTTATTTTTTATAGATTTATGTCACTTTTTTGTATACTCCAGTGACTTAGCATTGCACTTTCATTAAGTTGGCAGACTTGTGAGAAGCAGATCATAATAATATATTGACGAATAAGCTGTTTTGCTTTCTTGTGGAGAGTTTGGGAAGATTAATAGCACTCATGTCCGTCTGTTTTAATATGAAGGTATAGCCAGGAGCGAGTGTTTAGCGAAGCATAAAGACTGAAAACCAGCAGCTAGCCTGGCTCTGTCCAAAGGCAACACAAATCCACCTAGCAGCAGCTCTAAAGCACACTAATTAACATGTTATATCTTGTTTGTTAATTTTTACAGGGGTTTATGTGCTGGACTATTTCCTGCGAATTTCCCACAATATCGAGACAGATCAAAAACGGAGCCTATAACTTTTAGTCCAGAGTGTGGCTCAAGCTCCTAAAACGCAGGTTCCTGCATTTCTCACAATGCGAGTCAATAGTCTTTTATTAGACAGCATAAAGGTTCCTGACTTTAGAAAGCTCCTCCAGAGCCACAGGGCCCATCATACAACTGTTTTCACGGGTTGAGTATAGGACTCCTTATGGAAGCCCATTTCCAGCCTCTGGGATGAAAAAAAATAAAGATCCTGGAAGTCAATATAATGAGAAACCTTCTCAAAATAATGAACTTAACATCTCATAATTCTGACTTAGTATCGCATAATAGTGAGTTAGTATCTCATAATGATGGCTTAAAAAGGCAGCTTCTCCTCCGGTGGAACAGGAGCGGCAGACCGCTCCAGGGATCGGCACCGCTGAACCACATGGTATCCCGTCTCAGTCGGGCTGACAGAGCAGAGGAGAAGCTGCCTTTCTAAAGTCATAATTATGAGATGTCAAGTCCTAATTATGAGATGTCAAGTCCTAATTATGAGATGTCAAGTCCTAATTATGAGATAGTAAGTCATTATTTTGAGAAAGTTTCTCATTATGACTTACTGGATCTTTAATTTTTTTCATCAGAGGTGGAAACGGGCTTCCATAACTCCTCGTGACAAACTGATATTTGTGTTAAACTGTTAGAATGCCCTTTAACTAGACCTCTAGTGTGTCTAGAGGCTTTTTGATACTCTAATCACATTCTTTCCCCCCTTTTTTACAGAGTAATAAGCCGTTATGCATGAGTATCAGGCTAAATCACACTCGTTGCGATGGACATTTATTGCAGCGTTCTACTTCAAAGCCTTTCGAGCACCTGGAAAATTGTTTACGTGCGTACATATCTGAGCCAATATGACACGCGTGGCTTCAGATGCACGAGTCGCTCCCTGACGGACTCGTGCAGTCCTGGTAGTTTCAGTGCTGTTCAGACTCCTGTCGGCTGCCTGCAGCCTTGATCATTGCCAAGAGGAAATGGCTGAGGATTAGCCCTGGAGCTCTTTAAAGCCCTGCGCCTCTTCTTTCAGTGCCCATGGTGGAATCATTTCAAATTCTACAATTGCTCCAATCTCTCAGCATGTAGCCAAGGTTTTTTTTTTTTGGTTTAGTTGTTTGTACAAATAATAAAAGCATTGAAAGGAGAAGAAAGGAGAAATACAACCCATCTGTCCGAGGAACAATAAACCTCAAGGGCTTGTAAAAACATAACAGTCCAAGACAAAGAGGACAAACAACAATACATCACAGTGGGAACAACATGAAAACACCAAAACAAATATAACCACTTCTAATTATATTGATCCCAAGAGAACTTGGTCTGTTGTGTGTCTGTGTTTGCGTCAGTTTGACAGCTGCATTAAAACTCCTATTATCTGAAAACAAGTTCATTAAAAATGTATCTCGTCCTCTGTGTGGTGAATTGAATTGGTGATTCTTGATGATTTGATTGTCTGCTTTCCTCTTTGTTTCAGGTAATTCAAATCCAAGATGTCTGGAGAAGAAGTAGTTGGGGAGATGCCGTGAGTACCGTCATTGCTTTTTAATTGCATCTTTAGTGTTTTAAAATCGACAGAAAGATCTGAGCTGAATTTGACCAATCGCTCCGAAAGTTCATTCCCTTCACTTTTCTATTTCAGGGAGGAAGGTGAGGAAGGCTTTGAGAGCGTTCACTGTGTTTTTGAAAGCAAAATGTCACTTTCAAGCTTCTGTTGCAAGACGTAGCTGACCTTATTATGTCTGCTCAGAGATAGAAACTCAGCAAGAGCAAGGTAAATGCTTCTGCATGCCTTCATGTGTGTATTGTCTCGTTTCCGTTGTCTACTGCTGTTAAGTGTTGTCTGTCAGTGATAAAGGCCATAGCAAGCTGACCGAGTGTGGGTTTTTTGTTTTTTTTATTGGTGCAAAATAACAAAAAGAAGAGAGTTAAACAATGGTGGACGTGTCAGAACATACAGACAGGACAGCGAGACAGTTTTTGTTATCGAAGTTTATCGAGTTCATCAAATGTAAGATATATATATAGTGGTTAAGGTAAGTGTGTACCAGGGTCAGGACTAAAAGGAGTTAATAAATGGTGACCAAAAAGAGTTATTCTGTGGTTTTATTTTTGATGGAGGCTGAAAGGTTTTCCATGGAATAGTAGGGTGTGTGTGTGTGTGTGTGTGTGTGTTTTCTCTGTTTGGACTGTAACACTTCATTTGACATCACTGTGAACACTGTCAGTTTCTCGTGTAACCGTAGCTTTTTATCTAAATTATTTCCATCCTATGTTAGCACTGCAATGTTTGCTTCTGAATAATTCTGTACTGACAAAGGTTGCATGATGGGTTTCCTGAAGTGACTGCCCAGTCAAGGTTTTATATACAAATAAAGCTTTTTATTGTAATGCATGCCAGTATTTGGTCAAATAAACATTGTGATGTTTCCATGTAAAAGAATAAAAACCGTTATGAGCATCAGTGGTGGAAAGTAACAGAGTACATTAACGCAAACATGCTGTACTATGTGTACAATTTTGATATTTATTGATTGTTTTAATGTTACTTTTACTTCGATACATTTCAGAGGGAAATATTTAACATTTTGCTCTCTTGATACCACTCTAGCCCCTTTAGGATTTTGACTGCCTCTTTCTATTGATGTATTGGTTCTTATACGTAAGCAAAGTATCAGATTACTTCTTCCACCACTGATTAGCATTGGATAAAAATAATTAAATAGTGATGTCAATACCATTATTCCTGTTGTGTTATGTGAATCTGCTTTGTTTTCTGACACGTGACTGCTCACAGGCTCAGTTTGTAATCCCAGATCATTTTAGCTCTGGTCACAATGTCAGACCTCAGCATTGGTTTCAGTGCATCCCAAGAGGCAATATCACAGTGTTCCAGGTTTGACCAAATCTCAGCCTCAAGCTATTTACCACAGGCTTATTGATCCACTAATCCATATTCTGTTCACTCAGTCATGGAGACACTGAAAGATGGTTTGTATGACTTGTTTTTGTCAGTAAATATTTAATTGTGTGTGTGTGTGTGTGTGTGTGTGTGTGTGTGTGTGTGTAACCATGTCTTCTTTTGTTGTTTTTTGGCCAACAGTAACAGAATTTGGCCTCAATAGTTCTTGTTCTGTTCTTGTTATATAGAAGTTGAAGAAGCTGTACCTGAAGTAGAAGGTAATTCTCCTCTTTAGCTATTGTGTCATAATTCCATCAGTGTTTTTCTTGAACATAATATTTATATGGAAAAAGGCTCAATTGAATCTTTCACTTTATATGCAGTACTATACTTTGTATGTGTAGTACTGCTCTTGTGCTGTCATAAATATTGCATACATACCCATTTTATATTAATGACACACCGACTCAGTGAAAGCGTGCGTGCTGCACCTGCACATTGCAGTAGAAGGCTTTTCTCACCTCTTCATTAACTATAAAGATAATACCTTTTTATGTTGAGTAATTGTGACATCTACTCAGACACCATTCCTGTTTGCATGCAAGTAAAACTGAGCACTGATTGTTTCATTGACTAACAGAATATTGGTTTAAACATTTCTTTTTAATGTGACAATTTTCTAGAATGCATAAATGTCTATTTCATTTGAATCGCATCATACTGAATGTCTATTTTTATGTGTTTATTTTACGTTTACAAAGAAAAGCTATCGTATACAATGACACATTTAATATTTTCATTATTTCATGTCGCCTTAGAACCTCCTATGGCTTTATTTTGTCATCTCTCACATGTGTATATTCTTTAACTTAAGTATATTTTGGCTGAATCGTTCCCCCAGATAATGTTAAATTATTGTTGCAAAGTCATGAACATTTACTGATGAGCTATTCTTGCATTTATTATGATCACTGCCTCTGATAAACCGCCTGTTGCCATTACTTCCACAAAGATCCTGCAGAAGAAGGTAAAGCACAGTCTCTCTGATCATACTTGCAGGCATGGTGTGACTCTGGTTTGTGCATCCCACCATTTTTAACATTCACGTAGACCTTAGTGCTGAGATATTTATGGAAATAGTAATGGTAACGTTCAGTCTTTTGAATTTCCTATCGGAGATGAATTCATGTTCATGTGGTGGTGTAATATTTTTCCTCATGCCTTAATATTTATTCTGATAACACACTTCTACAAAAGGTATGCCTCCATTTTCTGAAAATATACAAAGCTTCCCTGGCTTTGAACCCCTAGAGTAGTTACACCAACCCAGCATGACAAGGCATGCAGGAACTGTTTAGACTTTCTATTTCTTCTGACAGGCGAGAACATTTTTCATATAAAAATATATAAAGTTGATATCTGACCTGTGTGAAACATGAAGTCAATTTATTTGTGTAACATGTCCTTTGCCGTAGAGTCTCCAGCTGAAGGTACTTTAACTTGCTGATGAGGCCTTTGTGACCGTTACCGGTTAAAATGAATGTCCAGTGTCTTCACTTGTTCACTGGACAACTGCACTGTACAACACATCGGCTGTCAAAATATAGACTGTATTTTATATACAACTTTGGGAGACTATGAAGAAACCTCCTACATATTTAGTGTACTCCATTTCAGAAAGCTGCTGGTACACATGCTGCTCATTTTACTGTATTAGACGTCATGCACAAGATGGATACAGACGGTTCATAATAGTGTTTTTGCAATAGAAAGGGCTATTGCATGTCAGAATATTGACTTCTAGTGTTATGAGCAAGATTTCTTGTTCTAGTACTTCTGTCAGAATGTGTGTTGAGTGTATGAGCACTGCCATTTTATCTAATAAAGATCAAACTGACAGATCAGTTGAGAATTTTTAACTACAAATTCATGTTGAAACGAATAAATTAAAGAAAAATATGTAAATGAGTGTTCATAATATTCGAATCCCTTTCTTTTTTAATATCATAGATGACGCCAAACCCAAAACAAAGTAAGTCTAATGCCATGTGAACTTTAATCTGTTTACATCAACCAACTAGTGGTTAACTGCTCATTTAAAGTTCTTCCTATTCTAACCCAGATATGTTATTTTAGGGCATTTGCGCCACCTATAGCTGTGCCGAAGATACCAGAGGGAGGAGACAAAGTCGACTTTGATGTAAGTGATTGATTACATTTTAAGAGACAGAGAAATATAGACACAACTTTTATTGATTTTTTCTGAGGTGTGTTTTTTTTGTCTATATTGTATGTGTCTGCGTGCATCTGAGTTTGTCTAGAATGTAGTCGTTTATAGACAATACTTTGTTCAGTACTTTTGCTCAGTGGAAATGCAATACAAACAATGTGTACGTGTAACTGCAGGACATCCACAGGAAGCGTCAGGAAAAGGATCTGACGGAGCTGCAGTCTCTGATCCAGGCCCACTTCATTCAGAGGAAGAACGACGAGGCGGAGCTCGTCACTCTCGTTAACAGGATCGTAAGTCTTCCACGAAAATGTGCCAGAACATTGTAGTTACGTAGCACCCAATAAGCAATTTCAGAGTGTGTGTGTGTGTGTGTGTGTGTGTGTGTGTGTGTGTGTGTGTGTGCGCGCGCGCATGAGCAGGAGAAGCGTCGTACCGAGAGGGCTGAACAGCAGAGGGTCCGTGCTGAGCTGGAGAAGGAGAGAATGGCTCATGTTGCTGTGAGTCCCCTCTAATTGTCATCACATCTTTTTCACAACATACCCACAAATATAATAATCAAACAGCGTTCCATGAAAAATAAGTGACACTCTGAAGTTTCACCTTGCTTCCTGAACACAATTAGGGTGTTGGGCATGTGTATCCTGCTGGGGAATCTTCTATGATAAATATAAACTCCTAAACAACCGAAAGCCAATACCCTTCCCTTGATTTCTTCTCTATATTTTCCAAATAAATGCTGGCCATTGATGCTTTCAAGTACAGTGTGCTTGATGCAGTTTACTAATGTCATATTACACGATTGCCTTGTGCAAGTTAATTTCAGCTCGGATGACATAGGTTTTGATTAACTTGAAGGCTTTTGTGGACTATTTATTTTCGTGTTATCTGTGGCAAATATTTATGCATTATATTTTTCTTAGTGCTGGACAACGATTCAAATATTTAATCGCGATTAATCGCATTGTTATGGCAAAGTTCAATAATGAATTCAAAAGTAGTGTATTGCACACTTTTATTTTAAAAGTACTGCTATATGAACAAAAGGGCAATAACATTTGGTTCACGAGATGCAGGTAGCATATATGTTTTATACTTAATGTGAATATAATTCATACTTTGTTGGCATCTTATTCTGAAAACCGGATGTTCGTCTGAAGAAACCGGATGTTGTCTCACGTTAATCTTTCCGCTAACTTTCAAAGTCCTTCGCTTGCTCCCGATCTGTGCCATTTAAATACGTTTACCGTGAATTTCAGCATATAGGTGCACTAACATTACTGACTATAGGATGTTTGCTGGCTTTTATCTCACTGTTCTTGTCATCCTCTTGTTGTTATGTATATGTATTGTCTCTTGTCTTTCAATTAAAAAAAATAAAAAATAAATTTAAAAAATGCGTTAACGCGCGATAAAATAATTGTCGGCGTGAATTAATGAATGCGTTAACGCGAAATTAACACGTTAACTTGCCTAGCACTAATTTTTCTTTAAAGCTCAAAAGCTGGATCAAAAGACTTATGTTTAATGTGAGGGGAGTCACTCATAGTGATGAACCTATTGTGAATTATCAACCAACTCTGCTGCTCCCATCAGCTTTAGTTATTTTTATTGCATATGTTTGGTCATTATTTTGGTCTTCGGCCTCGTAACTTTAACGACACTGTTTTGGTTCACACTCACAACTCTCATTGGCAGGAAGAAAAGGAGAGAAAGGAGCTGGAGGATGCACGTAAGAAGCAGGATGACGAATTCAAGAAGAAGAAGGCTCTGACAAACATGACTCATCAGTATGGTGGTGTCCAACAGAGGGTCAGTCATCACACACAGGAAAACTGTTTCTCATAATTGATAATATGTAAACAACCATCACTGAGATAAATGACAAAAGACAAAGACTGTTACCATGATCGTAAATACAGCATGTGTGTTTGCACTTGAATTAATAGGAAAAAGGATCAGAGATTCAGACTTTGTGGCCTCTTGTATATTTTCTGTCTTTTATTCATTCTTTCTTGTATTCTTTCAACACATCCACTTGGATTGATTCTCCCTCTCCAGCAAGAAGGAAAGAAGGGCGCGAAAAAGCAGACAGAGAGAGAGAAGAAAAAGAAGATCTTGGCAGAGAGGAGGAAGCCTCTCAACATCGACCATCTCACTGAGGACAAAGTCAAGTAAGGGCAATATGTTTTTACTTGCAGTCATGGTTCACAGTTCTGTACACAGGCTAATGTCCACATTTTCAGTCTGATGCAGAGGAGTTGTTTGTGAATAGACTTTCATCTACTTCCCATTCTTTCTATCTTCGAGTTTTACAGTATCAATATGGCCTTTCAGTTTTCTGTTACTGAAATACTTCCGGTTTTTGCTATAAAGGGAGAAGGCCAATGAGATGTGGCAGTGTCTGATGACGCTGGAGGCTGAGAAGTTTGACCTCGGCGAGAAACTGAAGAAACAAAAATATGAGGTAAGAACTTTGCCTTGATGTTCATGGGCCAACTGCTTTTAGAACAGTGTCAGTGTAAAAGTGTATCTATATATCTGGTTTGGAAAGTAAGGAAATGTTTTTCAAAATGATTGTTTTTATTACATGTGAAGATGGATACAAGTCATGTCTGTATGCTAATTAGGAACAAGCCAGTAAGCTTAACTCAGCAAAGACTGGAAACAGGGAAACAGCTAGCTTAGCTCTGTCCGACAAAATAAAACATGTTAACTTGTGAGCTTTTAGAGGTCCTGGTTGGCAGATTTTGCAACCTACAACTGTGTGCAATGTCATTCTATAACTATATTTGTCACTACTGCCTTTTACAACAATGTATCCTTTTTCAAACTTTAAATTCCAAGTCATGCTTTTGTTTTTGCTGATATATTTTAGGAAACCTTTTTTTAACAACTTAGCCAGGGACTGCAGATGTAAAATAGCATTTTGGCTAATTCTGGCATGTTTATACCATGTGTATTTATTCATTTGCACTGTCCCCTTTCTCAAGTAAACTAAACCACACTGACGGAGTGGTATAGATCTTCTTTTCTTTTCTCTTGGGAAAAAAATGCATATAGTTCACAAAATATCTCACTGTTTATGAAATTGGGAAATGTTAGTATGTTTGTTTTTTTTAAATCAAATTAGATAAATATCCTATAATGTGGCTTTAAAGCCACAGACTACCTGGGGTAAAATGATTATGACAAACATTGCAAATTGATGGTGCACAGCCTACAGCCCTGAAAAAGCCACAGAATGTTAATCTACAAGTATGTACTGTGCTTTTTGAGTGGAAGATTGTCCTAAGGACCTACTTAACATGAATGTGGCTTGACTTCCAGATCAATGTACTCCAGTCCCGAATCAATGAGCAGCAGAAGTTGTGAGTAACCGTTAATGAGTGTGAGCCTCTTTGTTGCTGTGTAGTTTTGCTTTCTGTGTGTTGAAGAGCCACAAACCGAGCCTTGGACAGTGGAGCATGAAAAAAAACGTATCGACCACTTAGTGACTGAGTCACAAACAGGTGAAACGAGTAATGTTTGTTGATGATGACGTCTGCAAGAAGCTCCCATTAGGTTATTTGATCCAGCAAAAGAAGTCCCATAGTTCATAGTATAGTACAGTACGTTGAAAAAAGTAAAAACCAGTCATAGTATAGTATGTCGAAATCAGTCATAGTATGTCGAAAAAAGTCAAAAACGCTTATAGTATGTCGGAAAACAAAAAACGCTCATAGTATAGCGAGTCAAAAACAGTCATGGTACACTATAAATCATGAGATGAAATTAGGTTTTTCTTTGTCATTGTAACATGTACTTAAACAGAATTCTTCATTGCATCAAAGCAAAATATAGTTTAGTTATATACAGAGTGCAATACATGTTCAAAATGTTTATATTTGAGCATATTCAAAGTGTATTACAGGTAATACCGACAATATAAGAAAACAGTTGAGGGGAAGAAGGTTTTCTGTAGCCTGCTGGTCCTGAAATGGATCGTCAATTGGCACCTCGCAGTTTTCAACATCCTCTGCAGTGATTTCCGGTCCCAGGAATTGCCATACCATAATGTAATACATGAACGTAATACAAACTAAAAGTAATAATAGCCAGAGTATAGTCTGGCTATAGAATTCAGCTGATTTTGTTCAACAAACATCCATATTCTTCAAAAAAAATTCAAAATCCTTAGATGTCAATGCATTTATTTTTTTTAACTTGCTATGCCATCACTGTCTGATCATTTGAGTTGTATGGAGAACCAAAATGAAGACAATAAAAATTACAAATTTGTTTCGTTCCACAGCACCAAAGGAAGGGGCAAGGGCAGGAGATAGAAGCAGACATCAGCGGGAGCTCTCCAAGGAAATGTCAGAAAATGAGCAGAAGTATTGACAGATAACATTAATGTATGCTTAAGCAATAAAAAGTTAAGTTTGAAACTAGTCGATATTTTTCTTCTGGCAACCATACACAACCACAGTGCACTTCACATAGAGGCAGTGATATGTAAACATAATTTTATAACATTAATAAATAAAAATTCTGATTGTGTCAGAATAATGAACTTTCTATACAGTACGGTGACAACAGTGCAAAAAATAAAGTGATGAAGTACAGAGAACTAACATTTGCTGAAACTCATGTAGTTACATTTAGTTACCCAATCTATGATTACACTATGATTTCTGAGGTTTGACACATGACAGCTACTCCTAAATGTTGCAGATGAGAAGAATATTTAGAGCCGAAAGCTTTGTGGAGCTACCAAAATAGCATCAAAACTTCCATTTCCATACTGGTTAATCGTATTAAACTAACTCTAAAGTAGTGTGCTTTGGTGGCAACTGCAGTTTCTAAACTTTCACCTTTTAACAGAAAGTGCATTTCCATATACTGTATACATTACCAAGTATTTTAAATAAACAATTAACTTGCATTTCTTTCAGGTAGCTTACGAGCCAATATGATACCTACTTCAAGCAGGAATCAGAACAGTGCATTTTCTTATTTGCAAATCCAAACTTCATGTTCAGACATGAACGCGTGGAGCGTCGGTCCTTTAGGCATGATGAGGCAGTAAGAGATCGGGTTCAGCTCCCTTTGTTGATTTTTCACCACAGATGTGTTTCCCTGATCTCAGCGATCACCTGGCTAGCTTTTTGCAAAGCCTGTGGACAAAACAAAGTGAAACTACAATTAATGCCTCACAGTCCAACCAGTCACTTTACATCCATGTCTGTCCAAAATGTCATAATTAGCATATGAAAGTTATTGTTACCTTGGACTCAAGGATTAACTGATTTTGTTGGTCAAATTTGAAGTAAGTTGCTCAAAGCGTTCCTGAGACATGACAGTAGTGGTCAGAGTGAATCTAATCAGTTCATCCTTGAGTCCAGGTGGCCGTTTGTAGAAATTTGCAGAGGCATACAACAATGAAGTGACTGATAAAGGATCCTCAATTAATCATGGAGAACTAGACACTAAACGGTGGGAATCCGTTACCTGCAGCATGTCGGCAGCCTCCTTGCGCCGCTGGGCCATGTCCTCCGATTCAGTCAGCAGATCGTTGAGGAGGCCAGATTTATACAGCTGGCCGACGAGCTCGCTCTGGAGGCTGTCCTTCACATGGTTGACCAGGAAGTGCATCACTGCCTTTGGCACACTGCGAGGGAGAGAGGAAACAGACTGAACAGATGGCAGAGAACAAGGAGGCAAGATGGCCTGGTGATTGTGTTGTCCCCCAAGATGGAGGGGCTCGAGTTTGGCCCACCAGGTGGCCGTGCTTGTAGAAGTAGCCAGGGAGCAACAATATGGAAAAAATTCTACTTTGGTGGGATGGGAAATTGGTCAAATCTTATTAATTGATTTTTGTCAGCCATGGTTGTCGACGGTAAATTTGTTATGGTAGGTCTATGTTTAAAGTTACAACCACATTGTGAAAATGTTATCCAGGGAGAAATTCTTAATGATAAGGGTGGTAATGTTTGATATTTTGGATATTGTGAATAAATCCCAATAAAATCCCCAAAACAATGTTTTCTCAATACTTTCTGACTTCCCTTTCCTGTCTGTGGCTTCTAGCCCCGAGCATGTTGGTTCCTACAACTAATTTATTTTAAATAGTTCCTAAAATACATAGTTCAATCTTTGAAAAAGACTAGGTCATTTTTCTACAACAGCTGGGCACATTAGTTTTTAGCAAATATTACTCAAACAGGAGTAACTACTGCATTTGTTGGGGACAATTTTCAGCCGAGGATTAATATACATTTGGTGCATTGTGAGTATCTACGACAGCGATATTGGCTCAACATTACCTACAAAATAAACTGTAGGTAATGTTTGACGTCGTGTAATGACGGCTCTGGTTAATATCTGACCCAGCCAACTCTAGCCAGAAATGAAAACAGTGTCGGCATGGTACAGCATTTGCAAAGCAATCAGAACAACCTACTAACCTTACAACAGAGCACTGCTATCACATGGGGGCTTTTAAAGTTGTCTCATTCATAATATAGAAACAATAGTTGTTGCTAACTCACAAACTCAGCGGGCACATGTCACAGCAAGCATGGTGATCTTCTTCTTCCTCTGATGTTAATGTTTCAAGACAATACAGAACTAGAGACCACACTGCCATCTGTTGGTCTGAAGTGGTCTTACAGACTCCTTTTCAAAAGCCACAGAGAAATGAGCTTCATCCGCCTTTGGCTACGCCGACATTAATTGTTCGTCAATTCATTGTTAGGATATGTTGACATTCACCAGGCTTCTCGGTTTAAGAGGAGCTAGCCGGCTTACCTGTCCTGGATGTTCTTGCGGACGATGAGGAAGTAAGACTTGATGAGGCGCTCGATGACCTCACAGTCCCGCTGCTCACGTGATGACAACTTCCTGGCAACCGGCACAGGCTTCGGGGGAAAGAGAGATCATGTTTTTAATCAATCGTTAAATACTGTGATCTTTATAAAGGGGCCATGCTGATAGGCTTATGATTAGTTACCACATCGAGCAGGTTAACAGCTCCTCTAAGGGGGCTTCCAGGTCCGGAGCCAGGGGCGTCCTCTCCTTTCTTCAGCATCCCCCTCCAGTTCCCTGTGCCATCCTGCTCCGCCTGGGGCCCTGCTGCTGGGGCCTGACGAGCCAGGAACACAAGAAACATGAAAATAAATGGTCATAAGTCCAACAACACCCTTCTCTTGTCATTAGGGTGCACAGGGAAAAGATGGTTATGGAATGTAGCATTATAACCTTCACCGGTTCATATGCAATAGTGCAAACGCAAGGCAAACAGGCATGTACACAAAAAAAGTTCATAGAGAGGGAATTAACTGAACTATTACTGCACAAGTTAAAAAAAGTTGTTTTTTATTGACTGAAATTCAATGGTGCTTTTAGCTAAATCCTAACATCATCACAATGAAAAAAAGCTCATGTAAAGCAGGTATAGTGTTGATCCTACCAACAAGCTCAGTTTAGTATAGCTGACAAATGAAAATGTGAAAGATGGAGATGAAAAGTTAAGAGATTTGAAAGTTATTCAAATTCACACTGAGGGGAACATGAATGGCCGTACCAAATGTTACGCCGATCCATTCGATTGTTGCAAAACACAAATGTCAACCTCATGGTGGCGCTAGAGGGAAAGTCAGGGGATCACCAAAGCAGGTAGCCTTTGTCCTCTGGGGACCATGAATGTTTATAACACATGTCATGGCCATCCAGTCATGTCTGGACAAAAGTGATGGAGCGACCAACTGACCGACGGCTCGGCATCCCTACAGCCATGCCGCTAGCAGGTCTGTGAGTGCATATTTTAGGATAATTTACAAAGAGGCTTGGGTTGATGATGCACAGTAGTAGAACTTCCACTATCACATATTTCCTACAAACTAAGTACAAAAAAAACGGGCAACCGAAGTGTTAAGAGGTTGGAAAAGGAAACGGGGAGAGAAAGACATTTTCTGTGAGACAGGTGGACCAACTTTGAGGACTACAGAGTCCGCAGGAAACACAACGGTTGTTAGTGGAAATCCACACAGGCTGAGGGAGAGCAAAACAAGAGCATGTCATCAAGAGACAAGGATGAAAGTGCATGCCAGTAGCCCAAGCTCATCCATCCATCCATGCCCCACCATCAGCCCCGCACAGAACCAGCGAGCTGCGTTTGCGCCCACCTTGGCACCGTCCATGTCTGGTCCAGACGCAGAAGGCTCGCCAGAAACCCCAGTTGGGCGAGCCGGGCCTTTGCCAACAGACTAACAGGAATATGAGAGCAGGAATGGAGAGAGAGAGAGAGAGAGAGAGAGAGAGAGAGAGAGAGAGAGAGAG